TTATCAAAATTAGTACCTAGAGTAATAAAGTGAAAGATTAGTACAAAGTTGTTATCCAGCACTTTCGAACATCTTCCATTTATTTAGTGAATAAATACTGTATATTGGTATGTGATTTTCATTAGAGATTTCATTTCAAGAGTATGGAATTATCCGTAACTGTCTGGTATGAAAGTGTTAGTGTGGTGTTTCCAAACATACCGGATGAAAAATGTAAATATGATGAAAGTTATGATTAGAAACGTTATTTCTAATAAAAGTTACATTCTAATGTTCAGAAATCATTCAATAAATGAATGAATAAATGGCTAATAGTACTGAATAGAACTCAGTTACTGATCATTAAAACCGCTGCGGGTAACCCTATCCTCTATTTTTCTTACCATTTGAACTGATGGGACATAGTCTCAATTAAGATAACACTTATTATGATAGTAGACTCGTCATTATTGATAGTGGGATCGTACAAGAGATTCAAAACTGAGAATGAAGATAATGATATGAAGCTGTTTAGTGTATGGCAAACATTTTGGTTAATTTCCTTTAAGTCTTTGTTCTCTGATAACCATCAGATGACTATATTAAACGAACAGCTGATTGTCATCCAAGCATATATTACACTTTCTTAAAGGGATATTTCTCGATCATCAATTTGCAGAATGTTCAAGAGTTGTGCTTGAATTTATTGCTTACTTACGTCTGTTACTCCTCGTGGAAGAGCATAGGCCACTCACCTGCACTCCACCCAACCCTGTCCTGAGCAATCCTTTCCAGTTCTTTTCACTTGTTGTTAATGCTTTTCATATCTGCTTCTGTTTCCCGACCTAATGTGTTCTTTGACCTTCCTCTCTTCCGCTTCCCTTCAGGATTCCAAGTTAGAGCTTGCCTTGTGATGCAGTTTGATGATTTCCGTAATGTATTTCCTATCCTCTTCCATCGTCTTCTCCTGATTTCCTCTTCAGCTGAAAGCTGGTTTGTTTCCTCCCACAGTAGGCTATTGCTGATGGTATCCGGCCAATGGATGTTGAGTATCTTGCGTAGACAACTATTTATAAATGTTTGTACCTTCTTGATGATGGTTGTGGTAGTTCTCCAAGTTTCAGCTCCGTACAGTAGAACTGTCTTAACGTTCGTATTGAAGGTTCTCACTTTGGTATTAGTTGAAAGTTGTTTTGAGTTCCATATGTTCTTTAATTGCAGGAATGAGGCCATCACTTTGTCAATCCTCGCCTTTACGTCTGCATCTGAACCTCCTTGTACATCGATGATGCTTTCCCGGTATGTGAAGGATTCTACATCTTCCAGAGTTTCGCCATCAAGTCTGATTTAGTTGGTGTTCTCCGTGTTGTATTTAAGGACCTTGATTTTCCCCTTGTGTATGTTGAGGCCTACTGATGAAGAGACTGATGCTACACTGGGTGTCTTTATCTGCATTTGTTCGTGTATATGGGATAGGAGGGCTAGGTCATCTGCGAAGTCCAAATCGTCTAGTTGGTTCTGAGCTGTCCATTGTATTCCGTGTTCTCCCTCCGATGTCGAGATCTTCATAATCCTGTCGACCACGAGAAGAAAGAGGAAGGGAGAAGAGTAGACAGCCTTGTCTGAATCCGGTCCTTACTTGGAATGCATCTGTCAGCTGTCCTCCATGCATGAGTTTGCACTGTAGTCCGTCGTATGAGTTCTGGATAGTGTTGGCAATCTTGTCAGGAACTCCATAATGTACTCTTATCTACACTGTCAAACGCCTCTTCATAATCAATGGAGTTGATGTATAGTGACGAGTTCCACTCAACTGGTTGTTCGACGATGATCCGTAGTATCGCAATTTGGTCTGTGCACGGCCGATCCTTATGGAATTCAGACCGTTGGTCTCGAGGTTGGGCGTCTACTGCGTCATTTTTTCTGGTTAGCGTTTTTTTAGCGAGTTAGTTTTCTACGAGATGGAGTCGCTAACCCCATACCCAACTCTCCTCCTTTACCCGGGCTTAGGACTAGCAGTAACTCTAGAAGAGCTACAGGGGGAGTTGCTTGAATTTATACTGAAGTTAAACTGAGGGTAAATCAATATCTAAGCATTTTAATAACTGTTGAGACGGGGGATATACGCCATAGTAATACCATATATATATATTTCTAAGTTTACTTACCAATGTTAAGGACGAGGAAAGCAAGTTGGTAACATCAATATATCGGACTTCATTGTGAACTTTTGTGAAACAGAACTAATAAACCACAACCAGAAAGAAATCATTCAAAGTTCTTTATCAGTTGCTTCCAACTACCCAACATAAAAAACAGCGTTCATGACGATTATATAGGCACATGTCAAAAAGTATTCGATTATTAGGCACTCAGGCGTGGCTTTATAATATACTTACATGGCGTATGAACCAATTGTTGGTCACCGGCTACCATGCGACTGCATCTCCTGGCATTGCTCCACTGCCTTGTAGATCAGACCTTTAGGTTGAAGGCTCCGAGTGTGACCCCATAAGGAAATAGATAAACAGTAAATAAAAAGGCTTTCTCTAGTATTAACTGGGAAGTGAAAGTATTAGCGATAGCAAAGGATCGACCGTCTAGCACGGAATATTTAAGTGGTAACTATTCTGGAAAAGATAACAATATCAAGATTTTCAGAGGATGCATAAACGGAAAGTCAGGGTTACATATGTACAACAGAAGCGGTATTTTGAGGAGAAACCGTATTTACCTAAAATCATAGAAAATAATTGATATTATGTTTTGAGCTTTTTAAAATTAATACAATTCACTTACTATAGACGGTATATGTAGTTGGGTTTGAGTCAGGCTATTGGAGTGATGGCAAGTGATACTACCCGGTTGGCCAAATTGAAGTACTTGGAGTGGAATTCAAACCTGCGACCCTTTGGTTGAAAGATGACTGTCTTAATTAGTCATGTACATGTTTTAAACTATCATAAGTACTCATAGCTAGTAATTTGTTGTTATAAGAGAAAATGCATATATGTACGTATGTATTTGAAGATGGTGTTAAAATCGTTTAGGCCCAGTGAGGTATATGAAGTCCCTCTCATCTTAACAAATTATTAGAAAAAGCACGTGAATGAATGCAAACTTGCCGGCTACTGATATCAAGACAGGATGAATAAGTGGTTTTCTAGGATGATGTACATGAAGTAGACGGATCTCTTATTAATCTTATTTTTTAAGAATTTAAAGACTTTCCGTTATTAACTGTTCCCCTTTTACGTTCTTCAATTTCGACCACATATTAAATTGCTCTCGTCAGTTAGATTGTTAAAAGTATAACACCTTTGTTAAACACCCAATTATTTTAAGTTTCTTACTATTTAATCTAATAGCATACTGAATAATTTTAAAAATGGCTATTGTTGTCTATCACAAACAATACAAGCATATAATATGTATAAAATTCGTTTTCATAAACGATGTAACAAACTGATAATTACCATACAACGATACTGGTCAATCTCTCTTTGATTACAAGTTACATACCAGACATGTGACAATTAATAATAGAATAAATAGAAACAAATAATTATAAGGAATATTATGATTAAGGTTACCTTTTATTTCATTACATTATACCCATACATAATTGAGTCAGTGGTCATAAAGGAACTCATAATTCCATATATACCAGTAATAAATTAACAGAAACTTGAAGTTATAAAGGTAGTAAAATCACTGATGGAAAGAATAACACTCAAACTGAAGAACTACTACGTCAGGTTCTGTGTTACTCATATAATCTTTTTCCAATACTTCATAAACATATTATTCTACCAAAACTAAGGGCAGACTATAGACTAGTCACAGAGGATGTTTACTTCAAAAATCTTCATTAACACTGATACAAAATACGATTAACACATGCATTTGGGTCTTTGCATTTAAAGTCTTTTATACCATTAGGTGAAATACTATCAATCAATAAGTAGAGTACTTACAGAATAGAATACATAAATGATTTCGTTAAGCATAGAATACCTTAACAAGTTTCTAAATATGCATAGTTCTATAGACTGTAATTCGTTAAGCGATTCAAAAACACCAACGTAATTGCAAACGAGACTCTACGAGATTACTCCTTACGTTTATGTCCCAAAACTCCTGCCTCAGCAACTAACTACGTAACTTCATTTACATGGAGTTTGGATTAAACGAGTGACTTGAAAACCACTATTAAGTGTTTTACCCAGTGACTAGCATTTGAGTATTTTCTTAGTGGTGAATTTTCACTTCCAACATGGTGTCATAAAATATCAAATCGGGACATTGGGATTTCCTTAATTATTTTACACTTCTTAATTTAATTAGGGATTTGGCACATTGTTCTTATACCATTGTATTGTCAAGTCTATATTACCAGAGAAATGTGGCATAGTGAATATGGTAAAGGTTTATTGTGAACGACTTTTATCCTAGTACATTTTTCCGAGAGATTTTTCATATCTTAATGTAATAAAAACATGGTTGAACTAATGAGTCAGTGTAAGGTAGACCACCACTGAATCCAACTACTAAAATTAAAACCTTCACAAACCCTATTCTGATTATAATAAAAAATACAAAAAACACATTTGTCTGCTTTGCTACAGTTGTACTTATGATACAATAAATACAGTTAAGTCAAAAACATCATTTGTTTCTAAGTATTTTTAGATGTTTTGAAGAGAACTGAGTACAAAACAAACCAGAATCTACTAAAAATGTAAGCAAGGTATTTGAATCAACGTTTAAAAATCTCAGAAATGATAGAGGTTTTTAAATGTGTGAGGAAGTGTTATAATTAACCAATTTATAAAGACTAATATGCTGTCATTGGAAACCACATAGTATCGTAAATTAAGAATATAGAAATATAACATAAAACGAAAGCAAAATAACTTCTACATGCGAAAATAATTTTTATTTCTTTAAGACTTATCTTTTTGAGTATCGTTTTCGAAGTACAACAATATTAAGTTCCGAAATAGTATACATCAAGATAACTATGGTAAATTTAGCATATCGTGTTTCTCGAAAATAGCTTGAATACAGTCATATACCTTGCGCACTACAGGTAAAGCATGTGAAGTGAGAAACTCTGCACATTGTTCATTTGTAAGCAAACCACTCCCAGGGGGTTGAGATTGGACGATATGATGAACCAAATGTTCCCGCGTAGGAAGAGCATAAACAGCAACTCCAACAGCTTTCCTAATAGGCCATGAATGATATTCAGAGAGGGTTTTGTCGTACACTGACCGAGCAATAAACTTCAATTGTTCATCCGGTGGCGCTATAAAATTTAACAACTACACTTTGAGTTGTACTAAAAGGTGAAAATCAAGTTAATTTTAATTACTGCTTTTACGAGAAATTATATACATGTTTCTGACTTTTGAGTATGCAACATATTTTATTGATTAAAAGCTACCAAAGGTGTTTTATGTAACTATAGTTTACTGAATTACCATTAATGCTACCCTTTAGCATGTTACATTAAGAGCATCTGTGTTTGCTCTAAGTTGGAGCGCATTAATATGTTTCGTACTTAACACAATCAAAACTAACAAGTTAATACTTTGTTGAACAAAAGATGATAATAAATCACGGAAGAATTGTAAAAGTGGAGTCTGAGGCAATGATCAGATAAAAAGATCTTGAAAGAAACCAAATGAGTGATGATGAAATTTTAATTGTTAGAGGCAATAATGATCCTGCAGATTTGAACAGGTGTTGAACACTACATAAGTTAAAGTTGTGTCAGACAACCTGTTGTTAATAATACGCATGAAATCTATACGTAGTGTGGAGATATGACTGACAAGCTTATTTTGTAAATAATTTTTAATATTATTTGTATTTATTTTGTCAATTTCTCACTGCATGTACATTTATCATTAAATGATTGTACCTGTTGTTTAAGCAAATGACCTTGAAGACTTTTTCCGTTGTGCTACTACATAGCGTGACATATCGTTGCTGGTTAACAAATACACTGCTTCTCTCAACTTCCCCGTTCTGTTTTCATTCGAGATTGAGTTAACTGAGATATGAAACAAATATTATTTACATTCATAGAATGTGAGGGCGAATACACCATATCTTACTTTGGATTACACCACTGGGGAGTTCATCGATACGTTTGGATTTACCAAGCATCTATAATTGTGGATTTATTGTACCAGATTAAAGCCGAACACGCATCATTTTGGGTGAACTTAAGTAAAGTCCCATTTTTATTGTATTTGTAACATTTAACTGATATATATTAATATTACTATTGCTTTTTATTAACTTTGTTGATACTTATTGTGTTTATATATCGTCTGGTCCACCACAGTAGTGTCAATAAAGTGCTTAAATACAAAAACAAAGCAATACGAATAGTTCGGCCAGAAACACGATTAACCTCCGCTAAAATATGCTTTATGGTCTTAACGCTGACTACCATAGAGTAGTGCTAAGCTAGATTATAAGGTGGAAAAATGATGTATATGAAATAGAACCTATAACACCCTGGTTGCAGACTCAAGCCACTTTTAGAGTCGGAGTAAATTAAACAATCGTAGTTGCCGACTAAATGTACTTCACTTTGTGAAGTACCATATTTTTGGACCGAGTTGTGTTTGTTTTCCGCATTTAAAGACATAGCTCTAAGTAATACAATGACCATAAGCTTGCAAATACTTTTGTATGGATAGTAGGTCACTAAACCTGGTTATCTCAGCAGCTTTGTAAATTCGGTTCTGGTGGATAGGTCACTCTGCATATACCAGAGTATCGTCAGCTCAAATATGCACAAATAAGAATTGGACTTGAGGAAACTAAGGATAGTCGGGGTAAAAGGAGCATAGATCTTAGGGGTTGGTGACTCCTTGCTGAAGTCGTATGTGAGGTCTGGACTTAATCGATGTGATACATGATGATGGGAACTGAACTAACGCAAGTTTGTGGCAGATCCCACATTATTTACAGCTGGCCAAGGTGAACTGACGAAGAACTCCCTCATCCCGATAGTATGAACCAATAAATTTGAAACTCCGTAACTTGCCTCTGCAAACTTCATGCATTAAATCAATCACAAAGAGAAGAGCCCGGTGGAGTCGGAGAAGTGTCCGGGACCCGACGCATTTCCGCTTTTTAACTGGAAGGTGTTCATTCTGCCTTTCCTCATAAACAGCCATTTGCTCGACAGATTTATAATTAATTTTATCTGCCGCATACAGGTTGCGGAGTTCCGAAATTTCGTGATTGACATCACTGGTCACGAAATAAAAAAGATTTCCAAAGTATACGAGAAGTCTGCAAACATGTAACAAAATCTAGCTTACTTAAAAACCTCCGTATATGCTTCACAATACTCAAGGAGCAGAACGTTATCACCATTTGCGCATGCTTTGCATTTATTGCGCACGTTATGTAAATTTAGCGAAGCATCAACCGAATGACCCATTATTTAATTAAAGGTGATGCATACACTACTGCTTTTGTCTACCGATGTCAAAACTGCTTTTTGATTAGATTGAAAACCTACCAGATTCTGAGAAAATATTTTCTTGAAGATTTCTGAACGTGCCTATCTTGTGAACTTTACAGTGAGGTAGATAGATGTTACGGTAATGTTAAAATACAACAGTTATAAACTTATAATTGGGCAGAATATATTGTGGAATTTAAAAACTATACGTTCTTCAGCGTCACGACCTTTAGAGGTCAAGTATACTCTAATTGTCGTAAATTGATAATTACAGTCATAAGTAACGCACGTCATCATATTGTGTACATTTTCCAATAATAAGTATTCCCAATATATTGTAGGGTAAAACAACTGATCTCGTTTTTTCAGGCATTTTCAATCTAAACTTCCATGATTCTTGCCATCTGAGAGGGATTTCGAGGGGTGGAAAAGTGGAAATGGAAAAGCAAATGGTTGTGGACGGAATAGGAGAAGATTTCGCTTAACAGGCTCCCGTGTCTTGTAGCAGGGGATCACCAAATCCTCCAGGCAGGAACCTAGGTATGTTAACAATAAAAAAGGAAAAGAAATTGGTAAATCATGCGATGCTGTCCTTGGTCCTTAAGAATAGGTCAAGTTGCCTCTTGAAGGACTCCTGAGAAGTCGCTTGGACTAGCTCGGCCGGCAGCGAATTCCAGCTTTTGACAACTCTTAAGGAGTAGAAGTTGTGTCTACATTCCGTCTTGCTATGTTGTGTTTCCAGTTTCTGGGTGTTACCCCTTAGGTTATTATTCGAACTAAGCTTAAGTAGGTGTTTAAGAGGATGTCCAGAAGTGTTAAGAATGCTATAAGCCATTAGTAAATCACCTCTAAGACGCCTATATTCTAGTGGGTAAAGGTCTAGTGAACGGAGGCGTTCTTCGTAAGGCTTAGATTTGAGTCCTCGAACTGATTTCGTGGCTCGCCGTCGGATACGCTCCAAAGTGACCTTGTCCTTTTGGAGTGAGGGGGGAGTACTATGTTTCCGTACTCTAAATGGGGACGGATGAAACTATTGAAGATTGTATGGAAAGTTCGTCCGTCAAACTGTCCAAAAATGCGCTTCAACGTTACCAGTGCAAGGTTTGCTCGGAAGGCATTTTTGTCACAGTTAGCGTAAGACTTTAAGTCATGGGGCATCAGGACTCCTAAATCTTTTTCGACTTAGGATACTACTAGAGAGGAGTTTCCTAAGTTGTAACTGTAGTTTGCGACATGTCGCAGATGGACTACTTTACACTTTGAAGTGTTAAAGGTAAGTCCGTTATCGTCTGCCCAACTTTGAAGTCGCGTCATATCCTCCTGAAGTGCCTGTGTATCGACTTGGTTGCGTATCTCTCTCCAAAGTTTCACGTCGTCGGCAAAAAGTAGTAAGTCTGACGTTACCTGTTGAGGAAGATCATTTATGTAGATCAAGAAGAGAAGAGGCCCTAGTACTGAGCCCTAGGGAACCCCACTAGGACATTCCATAGCCTGAGATAAAGTGAAATTAACCCTAACCTTAAAGTGTCGATTTTTTAGGTATGAAGTAAGCCAATCGATTAGAGGTGGTTTGATACCTAGTCGTTTGAGCTTGTTGATAAGACACAAGTGGTTAACCTTATCAAAAGCTTTTGAGAAATCAAGGTAAATGACATCAACCTTTCCCTTGCAATCGAGGATGCTTGTCCATCTGTCCACCGCAGTCAGCAGGTTGGTTATACAAGAGTAACCCTTCCTCAAACCATGCTGTTGGAGTGAGAAGAAATGTTAGGACAGTAGATAGTCGTTTAAACCGTCGCATATCAGGGAGTCCATGAGTTTTGAAGGTAATGACAGAAGAGCCACCGGCCGATAACTTGAAGGTTCATTGCGTCGACCACCTTTGAAAATTGGTGTGATATGAGCCAACTTCCAATTTTCCGGTAATTTGCCTTGGCTTAGCGAGTGTGAAAACATCACGCTAAGCGGCGTTGTCAGGATTGAGGCTGCCTCCTTCAGTATTGCAGGATGAACCATATCCGGGCCAGGAGAAGTATCTAGTCTTAAGTGCTGCAATTTACGGAACACTAAGTCAGCGCTCAGGTTCACTTCGGAGAGTCCTGTGGAATTGCACATGAAACTGTCGTCAGTAAAGTTTATGTCAGCCGGTTGAAATGTTTGAGAGTAATGTGCCGCCAGAAGGTTAGCGGCGTCGCCATCGTTGTTGGTCGGGCCGTTAAGACCTAACAGTTGAGAAACTCCTGTTTTGGCTTGACGAAGAGAGGCTGCATAACGGAATAGGCTTCTAGGGTTAGAGGCAAATTTGTCCATAAGCTTTGTCTGGTTCTGAAGCCTGTCTTCTCTTATAGCATTCGTGCATATGTTCCTTATATGTTTGTGTTGCCTGTACCCTCCGTTGTTGTCAGTTCGTTTGTACTCTGCCCAACAGTGCCTTTTGTGGTTTATCAGGCGAAGAGTGCGGTTGCTGATAGCTATGGGGGACCGTTTGAGGAACTGTATGATTTGTAGCACATATGAGCGTGTGCAGTAAGAAGTCCCACTGACTGTCCACATCGAGTTGAGGTTGGACATCCCAATCCACCTGTTGAAGAGTCCTTTAGAGCTGACGCATTCAACCGTTTGAAATTCCAGCGCAGTTTTGCTGACAAAACTGAAGGCTATAACAGCGTGATCGCTTTTCCCCAGGGGAGCTAAGATTGAGAGGTTGCAAACCAGAAATTCTTCGTTTGTAAATACATAATCTAAGCTCGACGGTGTCTGACTTTTTCTCCAACGAGTTGCCTACTTTACATTTTCGTATAATCCCAAATCCTCAATGAGGTTGAAGAATCGAGCTTCACTTGAGTTTTTCCCTCCAATACACTGCGCTCTGCGAAATCAACTCTAGTGATATTGAAGTCCCCGAGAATCAGGATATGAGTGAAACCGAGACAAGTAGAGCGGGATAATCCTTCCAGAATACGACTGTCGTATTCGCTGTCGGCGGTGGGCTTCCTATATATGAGTCCGACTAGACACCTCGAAGTAGTAGACAATCTTACAGAGCACTATATGGATTCGAGGTTATGAACTTGGTGTACCTCCAAGCAAGATCGTATGTACATTGCTACCCCAACCCCTAATTCCTGATTTTCTGTCGTTGCAAAACAAAGACATCACAGGGACTGCTAACTCCTGGTCCGATAACTGAGAAGATATCCGAGTTCCAGGGATTCCTATCAGATAAACAATATTAACATTGCTAAGCTCATGTAGCTCATCCATTTTATTTGGTAGACTTGTAGAATTATGGTCTACTATGATATATAACGCCATTCGTGAGGAGTAGTAATGATTCAAAAGTATCCAGAATAAAACATGCAGTATGGCAATTAATTCCAGGGTGCTTGATGGTGTTGACGGTTTTGCCACTCGCTCGGATCAGAACAATCGAATGAATCCAGTTAATTGTGTGGTTGTTATTGAACGAGCCATCTAAAATGACCTTATGATTGCAGAAAACCTATAGATGAAACTCACCGTATGTTTTTGGAGAAGTGTTATCCTTGTTATTTGGCAATGGAACTCGAAAATATGAAATTAGGCAGGCAGTGGTCAGAAGAAAAGATATTACAGGATAGTGCATAGTTTAAAACAGGATGAGGTGTTAGGTGAAGGAACACTGATAATTAGATCCAGATAACTATTTAGTCCTTGATTGCATTGTTAGTCAATGTATACTTACGCTATTTACAGGTCATATTTGCTAGAGCTTGATGTTTAAACAAGTCTATGTTGCTGAAGCATGTAAATGCTATTAAAGCTTGTTAACGAACCATCAAAGCTAATTAGTTGATATAAATGATCAACTTTTATTATCGATTGAGCTAGTATGTCATGAGAACTAATCAATATAATATTACGATAACATATGTGACCATTAATCTAAGGACTATTAGAATACTGGGTTTACAAAAATAAAAACCGATTGAGAAGGTTAAGGTGGAAATAAGGATTAGCAATAATAGGTTGCGTTTCTTTAGTTGGGCTTACCAATGTAGAATTATGGTCTACTATGATATATAACGCCATTCGTGAGGAGTAGTAATGATTCAAAAGTATCCAGAATAAAACATGCAGTATGGCAATTAATTCCAGGGTGCTTGATGGTGTTGACGGTTTTGCCACTCGCTCGGATCAGAACAATCGAATGAATCCAGTTAATTGTGTGGTTGTTATTGAACGAGCCATCTAAAATGACCTTATGATTGCAGAAAACCTATAGATGAAACTCACCGTATGTTTTTGGAGAAGTGTTATCCTTGTTATTTGGCAATGGAACTCGAAAATATGAAATTAGGCAGGCAGTGGTCAGAAGAAAAGATATTACAGGATAGTGCATAGTTTAAAACAGGATGAGGTGTTAGGTGAAGGAACACTGATAATTAGATCCAGATAACTATTTAGTCCTTGATTGCATTGTTAGTCAATGTATACTTACGCTATTTACAGGTCATATTTGCTAGAGCTTGATGTTTAAACAAGTCTATGTTGCTGAAGCATGTAAATGCTATTAAAGCTTGTTAACGAACCATCAAAGCTAATTAGTTGATATAGATGATCAACTTTTATTATCGATTGAGCTAGTATGTCATGAGAACTAATCAATATAATATTACGATAACATATGTGACCATTAATCTAAGGACTATTAGAATACTGGGTTTACAAAAATAAAAACCGATTGAGAAGGTTAAGGTGGAAATAAGGATTAGCAATAATAGGTTGCGTTTCTTTAGTTGGGCTTACCAATGTAGAATTATGGTCTACTATGATATATAACGCCATTCGTGAGGAGTAGTAATGATTCAAAAGTATCCAGAATAAAACATGCAGTATGGCAATTAATTCCAGGGTGCTTGATGGTGTTGACGGTTTTGCCACTCGCTCGGATCAGAACAATCGAATGAATCCAGTTAATTGTGTGGTTGTTATTGAACGAGCCATCTAAAATGACCTTATGATTGCAGAAAACCTATAGATGAAACTCACCGTATGTTTTTGGAGAAGTGTTATCCTTGTTATTTGGCAATGGAACTCGAAAATATGAAATTAGGCAGGCAGTGGTCAGAAGAAAAGATATTACAGGATAGTGCATAGTTTAAAACAGGATGAGGTGTTAGGTGAAGGAACACTGATAATTAGATCCAGATAACTATTTAGTCCTTGATTGCATTGTTAGTCAATGTATACTTACGCTATTTACAGGTCATATTTGCTAGAGCTTGATGTTTAAACAAGTCTATGTTGCTGAAGCATGTAAATGCTATTGAAGCTTGTTAACGAACCATCAAAGCTAATTAGTTGATATAGATGATCAACTTTTATTATCGATTGAGCTAGTATGTCATGAGAACTAATCAATATAATATTACGATAACATATGTGACCATTAATCTAAGGACTATTAGAATACTGGGTTTACAAAAATAAAAACCGATTGAGAAGGTTAAGGTGGAAATAAGGATTAACAATAATAGGTTGCGTTTCTTTAGTTGGGCTTACCAATGTAGAATTATGGTCTACTATGATATTAGTACTGCTCTAATAATAGACCTAATCCTAAGTTTGTAGATTTGTCATGATATAACTGCCTAATCTATAAGATCTTACGTGGAAGTCACACCATCGACTACACCAACTCACTGTATCGTATCAATTACCAATACATGATGTAGAACAAGGTTCGGCTAGAGAAGGAACAATATATTTAATATGAATAGAAGATATAAGGTAACATTCAGATGGACCACGCCTGCATGGTCGAGCTATGCCATCCGACCAACTCCAATTCATCCAATTATCTGTTCCCGCCTTTTCCATCGTTAGGTATTTCTCCGCGTTAAATATTGAATACCTATTTTCCGAGTAGTGATGTGTTCAGCTTCGAGGATTGTGTGGTTATGGTCCAATGCCACTACACTACTCTCCCACCAGAATCAACGTGATGTTGGTTCGATACCAAATTGGATGGGATCGTCACGCGCCGGAGGTTACCAAGGATAATAAGAATCCTCCGGGTATTGATAAGCTGAAAGATAAATCAAAAAGAAAGCGGCAGCATCTGGTCGGGAAATACATGTAATAATTTTAAAATATCTGCCTTCATGCTTAAAACGCTTGAAATGAAAATTTGAGTGAAGATTATTTGAGCTATAAAAAATGGGATTACAATAATAATAATAATAATAATAAAACGATGCGTGTTAATAGCCGTTGGTTAATAACTTGACGTATAGGTAGTAAGTATTTTGTGTTTAGGAATATTAAAAGCAATCAATATTGTAGAAATGTTAATATTGGTATTAGTTTTGGTTTAAATTATGAAATCGAATAACGATTATGCCGGTAAGTTGTCCATATGAGTTGAATTCCAATTGCATCTGTATTAGTAGGCTAACTGAAGGAACGAAAGTATACCGTGGAAAAGAATTCCGACTAGTGTTTCAGTTAGTTTGATACGGTTTATTTAGTTACGGGGAGATTTTCTCAACCTCATTTTTACTTGACCGTGATAGAATTTAGTAATACTACTAATACACATGAATGTTTATCAAAACAAAATTTAAATACGTGAGTGATGATTATATGAATTTTGGACAGATAGCTAGGAAAAAATCATTAAACATGAGTGTACTCGTAAAAGACATGCTCTAGACTCAATGTTCTGATCTGCGGCAAACTATTTATTTATATTTATACTTGCTGGCTGATTGGGCATACAAGTTAGTTGCAAGTATGCAGTTTATCATAAGGCGGAATACGATTTAATTGAGATATAGTGGTTATAAGTTATTAAAATCAGTTAGGCCTGTGTCATATTACGAAGTGATGTGGTGCTGCAAGATGTATTATGCTAAATAAGTTTTTACAAGATGATTAATAGTGAGTGATGCTCATGTGATTATCAGGGAGAACATAAGTTGTAACCAGGGGGAGTACACTCCCAACTCGTGTCTATGATAATGGCTTGAACCTCAGTCAGTGTTGGGGTAAATTCCACATTGATGCTTTCAGTTTGCAGGAGATTTGCTCGACTGCTTATACTGATTATTTGCATGCATGATTGTGTCGCTAAACCATCAATTAGACTGACAAGGTTTTGAGATATTTACTGAATGAGCAACTGATAGAGAAACATACTGTAATCATCTGTAGTGAATGAAGATAAAAGAAAAACAACACTAGTGATAATTATAAGTCAATTTGCTGACCGATTTTGTTAATAGTTTCATTAATTTTATCAATCATATTACGTGATCGTCAAGTCATAACAATGCTTTATGACGATATCCTGAAACTATTATGTTTAACTAGTTATAGTGTTGAATGAGGATTAGTCAATGGAAAAATAGGTATTGTTGCTTTACGTGATTCGAAATTATCAGAAATTTGTAACGTTAAAGAATCCAAAACGCCTAATTTAATTATAAATTTTAATTCAGAAAGATTCGTTTAGTGTTAATTCTAGTAGGCTACGGAGTTTTGATTTTAAACGTTTGTTTAGCCAACAGCTACCTAGGGATTTAGTTATTTTACTAGTGTAGTTGATAGTACCTAAATTTTTAATCTTATTATCTAAACTATGTTCGCATTTTAGGCTGCTAATATGATAAACCAATCCATAAACCCAAATACGATTAGCAACAGGGACTATGAGTGGTTGCTGCTCCTGTGGAGATCGCTATATAGGGCGTACTACCAGGCAACGTAACCAACGAATGAGTGAACATCTACCAACTTGGTACATAAAGGGTCAGAGAAAAACTATTCGCAGTTCTATACTAGCACATCTTGTTGATAGCGGTCATGCAGTAGAGAAATCGAAATCATTTCGAGTTATCTATCGTATACCTCCATCATTTCCCGACGGAGTCCGTTCCCGTCTTCTATATATAGCTGAAGCCATTGGGATTCGTACATATACCCCCAATCTATGTGTACAGAAGAAATACGTGACTCCCCTATCCCTTCCATGGCCAGTTATAACTTAACTAACAATTTTTTATTTTTATTTTAAATTTTATTAATATCATTATTTATTTTATTCTATCTGTGTTATTGTTAACCTTATTTCCACATCCATTATTTGTTTGTGATTATCCGCCTCTTTGTATTCTTCACTATCTAATTATTTACACACATCTTATTACGTAATGATTTTTAAGGTTTTGTGATTACTATTCCTAGTCTATTTACCCATGTTTGTTTGACCTTCTATTACCAACGATTAACTATTGATAAGAGTTTTGTTATTGTAGTTTATTATTCTTACCACTATCTGTTCACCTGTCTTCGTACTATCAACTTGTACTTTTACCTATTATGTGTAGAGACTTATTCTATTTCATTGTGATTATTGACTCATATTGCCTTGATTGGTTTAACATTTTCGTATAAATATTCATGTATATTAGAGTAAAGCCTGATGACGATCTAATTGAAAACAATTATTCGCTTATATGTGTTGTTCTAATTGTTTTTAGATTGTAACCAACTGTTGAATAGAATTCGCCAAAAAAATAAATTCTTGCTACACTCATTGTTCCTGATTTTATTAACATTATTTTTATGAACAACATATATAAGCGAACAATATTGTTTTCGATTAGATCCTCATATTAGATCCTCTAATATACAGTAATATTTATATGCATATACGAAATTATTAAACCAATCAAGGTAGTTTATAAGTCAATGATAACAATGGAAATGATTACATAATAAGTAAAATGTGAAAAGTACAAATTGATGGTGTGACAACAGGTGCATTAGTTTTTGATAAGCAATAATAATAAAGGTTCAAATCAATGTTACATAGTCTGAAATAGGTCAATGATTAGAAAAATATAGAAACTGAGATAACAATTATAAAATTATAAGATGACGTAATAAGAAATGTTCAGATAATTGGACCATGAAACGTATAGTTGAGAGAAAATAAAGTGGTAGGAGGGTGTGAAGAAAAATAATAAACGAAGAGAATAAATAAATAAATAAATAAATAAATACATTCATTTATTACTTAAGGCCAAGGGAGAGATAAGGGAGTTACAAATTTCTTCTGGACACAAAGACTTGGCTTGTTGGCTCGGATTCCTATAGCTTCTGCTATGTGTAAGAGACGAGATCGAACACCATAAGGAAAACTAGTGGGAATCCGATAAATAACTTTGAACGACTTGTTTCTGTCCACTATATGACCGCTATCGATCATATGTAGAGCCACATACAATTTCTAACCATGAAGAACAAATAACCAAGTAGGTTTGACTGAATATCTTCAGAATTGCATTACTTGTTACCAACAACACATCGGCCTAAGCGGATTATATACATTCAAATTATTATCATCTCCCTATACCATCCGATGCAAATAAAATATTCCTAATAAATTACCTAATATAAGGAAACCTAAACATAGAATGTGAATAAGAAAATTCATTTTATTCAAAAATATTATCACGAAATAAATAACCTACCAGAAGGTACAGGATCATGACGATAAGCTTCAAATAGTTGAGTTAATTCTTTATCATGTTCACTGGTACAATGAATAGTTTTCTTACTGTAAAAAAGTTTGAATTCTTTTAAAAATGATTCGTTTACTGTAGCTGAATCATTAACGTAAACGAATAAGTGGGAATAATAAAACAAACGGAAACGATTTTATCATGTCACGAGAGAAAAATTGTTTTTTTTTTCCCGTGATATTGCAGACTGCATTTCTAACATAAGTTAAGGTACGAACGTACATGATATATATATAGTGTTAACTTACTTGCTCTCAAAAGTACCATATCCTTGAACTGTCTCATAACTTTAGGAGTTTTAAAGAAAAGTTTCAATTAGAATACAGTTGTTTTTCTCCTCAGCTTCAAAGAATTTTCTTAAGATATATTTAATGAGATTTGCTAATTCCTGATAAATTATAACAGGAAAAAACATAACAAAAACCTGATAAATCAATTTGATTGTAGCATGAATGACTGACAATGTTGTGCTAATGAGGTATGGCAACTTGGACCGATGCATATATGTGCTTAATCTTAAGTTGTAGATGACTGATAAAGATGACTATACGAGACTTTAATAAACGATACATATTTTTCAATTGTCATCCTAAATAAGTATAACAAATGTCAACTAAATCAAAATAATTTTAATGAAAAAATTCCCTCAAAATGATTCATTTAGAAAAATATAGAAAAATAAACACTTTCAAAAAATAACACTTCTTCTTGATGAACACAGTGCACATCAAAATATTTATGGGTAGGAAAGGTTGAACACAAGTGGCCAGTATACAAAGAGGCCTAATAAAGTGAAATGGTTGCTTTGAATGCAAGTTCGTTTGGTCTGTCTCTGCACCGTACTGTCCGAAACAGGTACAGTTGAAAACTTAGCATATAGACAAATTGAAGAATGAAACCGATTTTAGTAGTCTAACATCATAATATCTATCAAAAAAATCATCTCATGTGAAAACAGTTAGTCGTTCAATTAAAGAAAATGTATGGGCAAGAGGATTTGTTACTTAGCCAGTTACTTGACCAGGTTGTGAACTAGAAAAGCAAACATAAAAATGCAACTGTAGAACCATTATTACTCATCACCTGTACGTCTTGACCAAGGTTGTTTATAATTATTCAAGTCTTTTATTCAAAGTTCAGCAGCTAAAGTGAGGAATGCTATATTAAATAACTGTGTTAACAACTGAATAATCATACACAATATCGAATAAGGAAATGCTTCATCGTATCGAAGCAGACAGACACCCATAATGAGTAATAAAGTTCAGTAATCAAGAACAAAATAGTATACTATGGTTAGAGAACGCATGAAAACAAGTTTGAACCCTCAACCTAATAGTCGAAATCATGTGTTAAAATCACTGAACCATAGTTCTACTAAAAAGAGAAATGATACTTTTATGAACCTGTTGGTATTGACTATTTCGGTAACCATTGTAGCAACTGTTAAGCTTGGTTTATAACTTCTTACATTGTTACTAACGTTAATTACATCAATCTATGAAATACAATTTCCCACTTTCTATAAACAAGCTGACAATAACACGGTAGTACTTTCAACCCCCAGACTCTTATCGAAATTAAATAAAATATTTCACCCATAAAACCTCAAGCATTTAATGCTACATGGAGGTGTGTGTTTTCGAGACACACAAACATACCCATATAATTTATCCTCTTAGTTATTCGAAATAAATGTTACCGTAAATGTTGGATAAAACATTGCCTAAAATGATTGTAACAAGTAATATAACAGCGAAAACACATACTGTACAAAAGTGACTTCCACATAAAATTGGTTATTATACTCACTTTAAATTCTGGCGAAGTAGCTAAAGCACAATCGTGTAGAAATTTTTGAAATACTCGAAATAAGCGTAATTGAAAAAAGCAACCAGGTAATCTTTCTCGTACAGCCAATCGATGAATAGTATGTACAATTGCATGATTGACTGATTCAGGATTATTATCGTAATTCTCTAAAACTAAACTAAATAATGTAGATAGTATTCATTAATTGGCTACACAAACGGATTATAATAATTATTTAAGAATATTAAAACACTCACGTCCAGTAAACACTGAAAATAATTATAACAAACACCTCTTTGAACTATCAAAAACAATTTTTCTTTTTTTCCTTTCAGTGACACTAGCTTGAGCTTAAATACACATAAATACGACAATCAGATACCTGTCGCATGAGTTTGTACAGATCTGTCCATCTACGTACAGTATTAGCAAGAATTTTAATTATGATTCATTGTATGTCAAACTTTTTGAATTCTAAAGCTCAACATCATCATCATTATAATCAGCCTTACTTGAATATCATATCATAACGAAATGATTGATAAACTCACTACAAAGTGTACATAAATTCTGGATGTAATTAAAAGATCACAAAAAACGTTTCTGTTTTACAATTCGACATCAGGAAACTTAAGTAATACAAATTGCTTATTTTATTACATGACTGAAACGTCCAACAGTTATTTGTTCTACATATTGATATTTATTACTATATCTCATTGACGATTCTATTTTCAATGTGTCTGGTAACAAGAAAAAAAATTAGTTCACAGTCTCTAGTATTCTGTTCCTCATTCAGTAATGAATCTCAAGTATTTTTATTAAATTCTAAGTATAAAACAGTATAAAGCAGTATTGCGAGCGATAGACAAATTATATTTGATAGTTCTATAGGTAATATATTAATCAAACTTTGATTTGGATTAAATAAACAATAAATTATAACTTGTTAGTAATAAATATGATTCTATTTGTTAATTATTAGGTACGAGAATGAAGCAAATTACGTGATATCCTACTTAAAACAAATATTTTTATATAGCTGATGATATTTTGTTTAATTCAAGGAAATGGTGAAAACCTACGTGTAAGCATGTACAACACGTGGATGAATAAATTTGAGCATAAAAGTACTAAAGTCTAGAACTACTTCTTTTTCAGTAGTAACTAGTTCTTCATCATTTGCATCACTTATGCCAAGTTCTTCGTTGTAAAGGTTATCACTATCACTACTATTCGATGAAGAATTATTTAGTACCTGCTGTTCTTCTTCTTCCTCTTAAATGTATGAAGGAAATAAACGGGTTAATTTTGGATAAAAATCAAACACAGAACTAACATATTATTTATAGCAGATTAATTCTGGTATAATAGATCATCAGAAAAAATAACTACATTGATAAAGTGGTAATATTGTGAAAACAGTAAGAGAGAAGCAAGGTGTTCCATGAATAAACAGACTAGAAAGGTACAAATCATTTAGTAATACTATCAAGAAACACATTTTTATTTAAGTGAGTTTATCCCACTTGAGTAAAGAAAAAGTATGACAGGATCTCCACCCGCTTTTATTCTACACCATATCTGATAACGGTCCCAAGTCAATGAAGTTGCAGAGTTTCTAGTACCTTAACCAGATAGTCGTAATGGATCGATAGATAGTAATCCAACACAAATATCCTTCATACCATGGAGCCGTGTTGCACACCGAACACCTGTCTGTTTTTACGACCCAGTCCCAGTATGGGAAAATTATGTGTGATGTGCGAGATGCCCCAAAAGCATTCATTAAACACGATCAGGAAGTTGAAGTCAAGGTTTCAAGAACGTGACACTAATCAGAACATTATCACTAAACCGGAATACAATTACTGGACCTCGGAGGATTACCAAAAGGTGCTATTGGGCATGACAAAGCTACGGAGGCAACGATGATCGACAACAGACTGAAAATAACGGATTGGCCTTTCACCATTTCATTGGTTTGGAGTACGCAAATTAAAAGCTTCAGTTTACTGGAAATGATTATTTGGTACGGGGTTCTTGATAAAGCAATAATGTTATTAACATTATTTTTCAGTTCATTTTCAATGTAAAACGCTATTTCAAAGATGGTTTGTGTCAATGCTTATTTTCACAATATACAATAAAGCACCTGACTGTTAATCTGTTAGGAGTTTTGTATGTCCTGAAGAGTTTAAAATTCACGGAATCTTAGTCTCTGTTGACTTATGCCACCTGCAGGACATGTAAAATCCTTCGTCTCCTCAACAAAACGATAAGAGAACTGTAAAATGAGGATTTTGAGGGGTGAAAACACGCATTCAATGCATGGTCGTGTATGGTAAATCCACAGAGGTTATACAATCTTGATAGAAGACTTGAAGTTTTAGGTAAAAATGATAAATAAGCCGATTAAAATGTGAGTTTATACTAAATGATGTGGCCGATAAGTGCTGTAAGTGTATAACCATTACTTTTTCTGGGTTGTTGTTCATGTTAGCATAGATATAGTTTTGGAAAACAAAAGGAACGACCAGACAAAGCTACAATATCAGTTCATATTAAAAAACCGACCGCAGTTGTGCAGAATGTTCTTTATTTTCCAATAAATTCTGAACACAGTATTACTGCATACTTATATTCGTCTTAGCTTTATATTCTATTACTGTTTGCACTATTAGTCTCGATTTTCCTACGTCCACCATCAATTTTCTCTCTGTAAAGATATGATATATAGGAACTTGAATAAACAAACGACTGTGTCACCTTGTGCATATTTATACAAAATATGCGATAAACTGTATATGGTCGAATATTTTATAGTAAGTTGGTCGCATTGTTCTAATCCTAACAAAAACATATCATTAAGGTACTTTGGTTGTAATTCAATGAACTATAGAAACAATAGAGTGAGAATAATAATATAACAAGAATTTAAGAACTAACCTAGTTCAGTAATATGAATTTGCTGTAAAGCCCCTAATACATTCAAGCATTCAGGCCGTAATCCTGCAGCACGCCCACCATCAATCGTTGAATTATCTTCCTCAATTGAAACTGGAGCAACTTCTGGCCAAAGACGTCACATTCTCTTGGCCATTGATAAAGCAGTTTTAGCTGAGCCTGCAAATAAAGCAGCTTGAACTCGACGAATGGCCGATTTCAACTGCTAATCTTCACTGTTTCCTGTAGTTGCATCGAAGAGTCTTGTATCATTCATTTCATCATCACTTTCATCCTGTTCATTCTCTTGATATGCTGTTCCAAGTAAAATCTCTATTAAGGGACGTTCTAACTGATTAGACCATTGTTGTTCGAGACGGCTAATTCTCACAGCTTCAGGTTCATGATTTCGAATATCTCTTCTATGAGTTTCCTTTTTAGGTTTAGAGGAACGCTTTTTCCTTCGGTGAACTCTTCAACGTTTCACGATAATTTTTTTATTGCTACCACAGATCTTGTTGGAAAGTAAAGTTATAAATAAGTGAGAACCTTCAACCAAATCACGCAAATAGTCTCTAGAGGAGAAGAAATCATGATATTTTGATAGAAATTAGCTTATCGCGAAACTTATAACAACACAGTATACTGATTGACAAGAGACTAAAATAATAGATTGATCGTTCATTATTTCATTGGTTTGAAGCACGCAAGTTATAAATTCCAGTTTACTGGATATGTTTATCCAATACAGGGTTCTTGATAGAGCAGTAACTTTTTTGATATTATATATATAACCATTTTCTCGATGGTTGCTTCCAGTTTGTCTTAAGATTTTACTGTTAGATTCACATCTAAATGGTAGGGAAATATAAACACTTCATTTTAAAGCAGAAATAAAGGTTTTGGTGTTGACTGACTTTTGCATCTGTTTAAAAGCTTTGGTGAGTAACCGTTTGATATCAATGTATCAGTCAGCAGTTTTGCATCTTCTTCAACAGTATTTGTTGTACATATTCTTTGAGTCCTGTTAAAGAGGCACTTTATCAAGCCTCGCTTGTATTTTAATGGGCAGAAACAGTTGAAATTTAAATACTGAACAGTCCAGGATGGCTTCCTATAAACGAACCGCCTTATAGCTCCATTCTTCCTTGGACTCAAAAGTTTGACTAAAAACAACAAGTGATTATTACTTTCTTCCTCATAGGTTATTACGATATTATCCTGTACCCTATTGAGTTTATTTAATAACTGAGTAACATAGAAATTTTTGTTATATATGATTAATATATCATCTACGTATCCCCTAAACAGAGTTAACTCATCACATTTTTAACATATGACATAAATACATTAGCTAAGAGAGATCCCAAAGGGTTAGCCAGAGCAACATCACCAACTAGCAGATGTTCACTTTCAAGCGTGAATTGCACTTTTGCAGTTCACAATAAAAGTAGTTCTTTTAAAAGTGTTGACCGAATAGGAAAAAAGGAGGGAATTACTCGATATATAGTCACAAAGGAAACCAAGTCTTGGTTAAAGGTACATTCATAAGAAAGAGGATTTACATCAAAATGATGCATACTCTTTTCTTTAGGATTAATCTCATCACGAAGATCAGTTAGTTAAAAGGTATCTTTAAAAAAAAACTTAAATAATTTATCACGGACTGGATTTGACAATTTAGCTAACCATTTTGCTAGTTTATGTGCAGGTACATCACATATAGATAATATTAGTTTACGAATTCTAAGTAATTCATATAAATTCGGAAGTACAGAACCGGTAGGTTTTAGCACATTAAATTCCTCTTTGTTTATAAAGTTTATTTTAAGGAGCTTCATTAGGTTGGAATTTACTCTGGATCCCAATTTTCTAACATTATTATTGGATAGAACGTCCGCCAGGAACTTTCATCAACAAACATAGATAACATTTTCACCTTATAGTTGCATTTATTTATAACAACCAGCCAAGGACCTTTGTCAGGTTTCAGGATCATAATATCTGGTCTGCTTCGGATGTATATATATGCAGCCACAAATATTCTACTCAACACGTATATATAACTTTATATACCAGATTACTGATATTACTCAGTTGAGTGAAATCTGATACGTGGATCCAAGGTAACCTGTGATAAATAAAACTAGTCAGTCCATTCTACTAAATTTAATATATGGTTACTAAACGGATCCCAAAATGACTTTGGAGACATTATCTTAATCAAAATAAAATGGATTGAACATACTTGGACATGAATATTTCATTGTAGTCCTTCAAAAGATTTGGGAATAGTTCTTGATATTCAGCAACATAAAATACATTGGCTGTAAATAAAAGCGAAAACTATGTAGTTAAAAGTAAATATGATTATAAAGTGGTCAATCATAAATAGCATAGGACCAGGCACGAATACTAATATACTATATTCATTAGCAGGCTACAACCTGACTATTGAATGCTTTGATAAGTTACAAAACTGCAAGCAATGATTGGCTTGTTTCGGACTAATCAGCGCCAATGGAGGAAACGAGATGTAAATTTAATATAAAACTCTAAAGTTTTTAATATCATATCTTTGTTGATCGAGTTTATTGAACATATATTATTCCTTCTCAGTTCTTGTTCCGATTTAGGAAAAAATATTGAAGTATGGTGTCCAAGGAATACTAGGCACTAGAACGTAAAAGCATTACATGCAAAAAAGAAACCGTGACTAGTGGAGTGCAAGACAGTTACCAACAGAAGACAATGGAAGATGGTCGCGCAACATCGTGGATTGATTGAAGCTAGACATTAAAACTGTTGGATACCAGTTCAATGGTCCAGAGGTTAGGCGTTCGCACGCGAGACCGAACGTCCTGGGTTTGAATCCGGCGTGCGAGGTCATGGATGCGCACTGCTCAGGAGTCCCATACTAGAACAAGACGGTCGTCCAGTGTTTCCAGGTTTTCAATCGTGATCTAATATTTGTCGATTTATGATTTCAACAAAAGCTCAAAAATCTCCACAACCCCTATTCTGAAAATAAACATGATTAGACTGGGAATTAAGCGTGAAATATAAGCAAAATGCAGTAGGTTCCATCAAAAATTCTATTAACTATTGATTTGTAGTTTTAGACTAGTTAGGAAACAGAAACAAATTTTAAATAAGGTAATGTTTAGTAATAAATGACCGAGTTGAAGCAATGTTTAAAAGAATACTATTTAATACATTATTTTTATCTAATCGGAGGATCACATCTTTATTTTTTTGTCCATTGAAGTAGCATTTAGTAAGAAGTATGGGAAAATAAACCGTAATTAATGGTCGGGTCAAATTTTTAAGCACCAACTGAAAACCAAGTAAATAGCATGAATCCAAATTTATTAGGACCAACAAACAATTCCGGTCAAGTATTTCATTATGAAAACAATATTACTAAATGCCAATGGGAAGTTTGTGAAAGTTGGAGGAGTCAACTAACAACCTATTACAAATATTTTGAGTACTAGACGTTTTTCATAGAAAGTCTATACTTGACTTTGGATGATTTTTCAATCCAAACCAATTGTCAGGAAAACGCTGACAAGAAAACACATCTATAGGTCGTATTCCATGCTACTGATGACATTGAAAAAAGTTAATTAGACAAGAATGTCTAGCCCAATAAATTTTACCCTTTCATTCAACGACGATAGAAACTATGTCTTCTTTATACAATGGAAAATTCATCATCATTTCCCAACTTCGCATTTAAGAGGCAGTTCAACAATAAGTATAGCTTCTAAAATTGTGCACATTTAGTCAATTAACAATTCATACGGGGAAAGAGTTGAAAAATTTACAAGACGTCCTCTGTTTTATTTTTTAATACACAACAATCGATTCTAAATCCCTTATAACACCTTTTTGTTTTTATTTCACTAATTTATATTTTCTCGAATCGTATCTTCGATGCCTAATCGTTTCCATTATCATTGATACTGTTACTTCCTTTATTACTCTGGGATTTGGCTTAACAATTTCATTTCTCTGTGCTAAGAAGGTATGGCGACTTGAACCGATGTACATACGTACCAGGTTTTAAGTTGTGACTAAAACAACAATCGATACCCATCATTATGCCAGTTCCACTGTTTTAAAGTCAGTTATACACATAGAATAATAAAGGTGCATGAAGCGAATTTCAAAAGAGGTATGGAAAAACACCCTAAACTCTGCACATTTGACTTCCATTAATCTCACATATAGGCTTTTTTAATCTTTAATTACCAAATGATAACTTGAGCCACTACATATTGTTAGCCAGTTTTCAGCTGATTGAATGAACTAATACTGAATTCACTAGGATATATAAATCATATAAAAAATAATCTTAAAAAGCAGTGACTGAGATGCGACTTAAACTGCATTATGGATTGATGAGATTGTGTCAACTATGCTTTAAAACTATAATCAGCCAGAAACGAACGAATAGTTGTTGTACCTAAGAATGTACGCAAAGAATACACATTTATAATACTTTCTGATCATTTCTAAATCGAAAATGTACAATAAATGGCAGCTTCTATACAAAGTTTGTATATTCGCTAAACGTTAAACTTTGTGTAGAGGCCTCTTCAAAATTCGAGACTAACATTTTTCTAAATGTGAATATTTTGTTTTCAGTTTCTGTTTAGGATTGGTTTTAACTAATTAAATATGACTGCTAAACAAGTATACTTATGGGCTTTCCTAAAATATTTACAGCTTGTCGCGAATCTATTCGCTGATAAACTAAAGAAGTACCACCATGAAGGTTCGTATATCTCCTTTCTCTTCTGTCCCTTGGACAAACGAGAGACGATTACTATAAAATTCATATACGACTGGTAGTAAGCACTTGAGGATGAATGTATAGGCCAGTTAGTCACTGTTTAACTGTTAGAAAGTTAAATGTTGATAACGCAGAAATGTTGTAGGAATACTGCATATTTCATGATGGGATCTTATTACATTCAAACGTATAGTATTCACCAAAGCAATTCTTGCTATTATTAAATCATAAAATGATACGGGACAGTAATAAATATCGATCAACTCATTAGATAAATGTAGCATGATTCATTATGTACCAAAAATCGACTCAGGTTTCAGGATCATGATTCAAGTGAATGTCGGAAGTAAATCCATCTACACTATTGGGACTGATTTTCAGGTCATATCGCCTAGTCTTTAAGCACTGGTTTTGAACTTGTAATAAACGATTTATAATTTTGTGTCTAATATATGACTACCTCTTTATTCAGTTTAATACTCTTTAACTACTTACTTCATACCTTTTATATTATTTTTAGAGCTGGGAGGAAAGGAGTGAAGAAGATCGTCTTCTCATTGAGCGTATTTTGATTTTAATGCGTAATGTACTTCATATTGCTCCTGATATTGTTGGCGAGCAGGTAATTGACTTTGTCATGTTAAGACAAATTTGCTTCAGCGTACGGATGAGGATGTTTCTGTACATGACCAGATTTTATGGGCAATGCATTTATCTGGGTGGGATGAACTACTTTTGTTTCTTGTAAATCCAGATGATGAACAAATGTTCGCTTTTCATACTCTTGAAATCATATCACTGATGTTAAGGGAACAGGTTAGTTTTACTCTATCTGGCAACTCAATATCAGTCACAGAAAAAGCTTTTCTTTTTTTAAAAGAAATTATGTTTGTATCCATATGATTCTTATATGTACTATGGACGATAAAACCTCTCAGGATAAACTTGAATCAAGTGTCCACAAAGAAAATCCTCAATACAACAGTTTTCTTTTGCCTATTTCTGGATGAAGGTTTTGTTAATTGATGAATAAATGAATATTTTATTGTTGACTAGATATGGAAACCTGTATAAAAAGTGTTACATCATATCAACCGAATTTTAAAAAGGCCAATATTTATTAGAACTTGTCACCTTTTCCTTTTATTATCAAACGTCTAAGTTATTATTCCATAGCTTCTAAAGGGAGATCTAACAAGAAATTTGTGGATGTCTACATCATGAAAGATCAAATATTTTATTCTTTAAATTTTGCTCAAGTATTATAACGGGGAAATGTTATGATTTTTTAAGTAAATGTTTGGCCAATTCAGAAATGAAATCTAGCACTATCACTTCTCATTTTCTTGTTCAAGGTGCTAACTAGCCTCATCTTTGTCCTGTATTCACGGTCTTTCTATGCGTAATCTTTTTTTGTAGCTTGTAAGTATAGCTACCGTTTGTATGCAATTTATTTTGATTCAAGAATCAGATAATTCATCCAAATATTGCTCTTCATTTCCACAGACACCTGAGCTACTTGCCTGTGTTGGAAATAGAGCAGAAACTAAATCTGAGTTAAACACTCGGAGAAAGTATGTTTCAGTTATTTTTAATAGAAAACAATGATGTAGACTTATTGAAGGATTGAAAATTCGAGATGATATGAAACGAAAGAATTTTCTTTACGCCTGTAACCTAAGGTGAGTGATTCGATGTTATTGATGTAGATTTATTTCAAGTGATAAACAACGGCACTATGATTTTTCTGTTTTGTGATGTTTGGTATTGTATTTAGTCTTTCGTTATAACACTCACTAAATTTTGTTTATATCGTTCATTATCTTTATTGAATAAGATAATAACATAGAATCAAAGACTAGATCAGTCATAGAACAGTTCAGAAACCACATACAGGTTTTTTTTTATCAGATATTAAGCTAGATCTTTTATATAAAGTCTAGAAGTTTTCGGTATCCAAATCATATCAAATGAGCTTGGTTTGAAGCAACTTAGCGATTGACATTCAAGTATTTACGTTTCTCAAACAACACTTCACAAGATAAGATTTCTCTTGTGACGATCAGCATTAAACATTGTTTACAGTTATTCATTTCTATCTGAACTAGATTTCGTAATGAGCTCGTATAGATGAAACAAAATGTGTATTTTATAACATTCAATTGTAAATACACTTCACAGCCATATGTATATTATAGTTTTGACTGAATATCTGTTTATATGAAGAAAGACTAGGTAAAAGTGAACTTCATTTTTATTACGATACATGAATCTTTATTTTATTGAACCACATTTTTAAAAATAATTACAGTTACCAAACAATGCTCTCTATGAAATCAACTGTAATTTCATACATTCAACTAGTATAAACTACTACTATCTTCAAGTGACTCAACATACTAAATAATTGATTTTATTACCAAACAAAGACCATTAAGTCTCAATACAAATGCAAAGAGTATTATAAGACCTGACAATGAAACAAAATTATACTAACTCATTCTCTAGGTACTTGGGTATAAGCCACACTTTCAGTATGATGGCTAATGATACTACTCAGGCGCCCAAACCAAAGTAGGTGAGGCGGGGTTTGGACAAGAGACTGAGTGGGTCAGAGTCGATCTCCTCAACCACTAAACCACCGTTACAAAACATTATATGTTGGTCAGCAATAAAACATAACTGTTAATCATGACATTTACGAAGCGTTCTTTGATATTTAACTGTAGAAATATCACCACTAGAATGGTCAACTAAATCAACTGTTAGACACTTAACGTGAAAATAAAATGTCCATAAACTAACTAAATAAGCTGATAACTTTCTGTAGATAGTGTTAATTTTGGAAAGATTTTACAGTATAAATAATCATAGATTGGTTTGTTTTATTTTGAAATATATACGTAGTTATGATGACTCTACAATTTTATTTTATTTTTATAGTCAAGCACGATTTGGTGGTGCTTTTGAATTGGTAAATACACCATCTTTGAGCGAACGTCCACTGATTTGCCAACATGATATTACCCATAAAGCTCAAATAGCAACTGTAATTTCGAAACAGTTGGACAGTTCTGTAGATGTGGTGGATAATGTCGGCATCGTTGAATTAGATGTAGGAAAGCGAAAGTTCCGTAAGCATAAACATCGTAAACCTAAAGTTGACCGACCAATACACCGGCGTTCAATTTTGTCTGTCCAGTTATATCTGCAGGTATTGATTTTACAATACGTTATTCGATCATATTATTTATGTTTACAAGTAATAAACTCAAATCAATGTTTACTTTCAATATATCTTTTTCGCTCTACTCATAAATTTCTGTTTTATATTTTCCGTCAGCCAGAGGTGTCACTGATTGTTGTTCATTTGTTCGCTGACAACGTTTGCTGTGTTGTGTTGTTTGTGGTGTAGAAATATGTTCAAACTCTGGTTCTTACTCCCCTGTTTTACTTGTACTGTTGGTAATCATCCACAAAAACTAGCAACTTCCACTTAGACTAAAATAACGTAGCCAGTTTATAGTTTCTCGAACAGTTTAAATTAAGGCTCATTGTTTATGTACCTACTTGCGTAACCTGATCATGATAGAATATACGCGCTCCATTATTACTGCTTCAACAATGAAAAACATGTTTTATTTGTCACATCACTTTTAAAACTTGTACTACAGTAGGTTATTGATCTGTAAAGTTGTTCATTACTTCAAGAAACCCACTTCCAATCAAAAAGTAACGATTTCGAGTGTTACTCCATTTGCCAATATCCTTACATTGTATTGTAAATCGATCATAATAATTTCTATCTTATAAATTGGCAATTTTAATTTTTATATAATTTACAAAAAATTTAGGGTTTCTGTTGGCAATTTTTAAAGTTCTGCTATAATCCAATCATGCGTGTTGTACAGTCACGTTTAACTCGTCAAGCTACCCAGGAGAATGATGAAACTTATTTCCTTTGGACAATGCGATTCTGTATGGCATTTTGTCGAGTTTATCGATTTCGCTCAGACTATATAAGGTATATATTGTTTTACAACTTGTTGAAATGTTAATAATTCACTAGATAATCTAAATAGTTTTATGAAATTAAATGTTTTAGTAATGTTCTGTAGCTGATTATATTTTGACTTATGATTGTTTTAGCGACACACCAGTTTGTTACTTATAAAACTAGATTGTTTTCAGATAGGAAAAAGATCAACACTAGTCGATAACTAAATAATGGTCGGTGTTACGTTCCTAGTTCTAATGAAGTCATATTAGCCAAGTTTGAGGTGTGGTCATTATTATTAACGAACCTCATTGTACAAAGGGATTCACTAGTGTTGTCTCCAAATTCAGTATTACACAAGGCTTGTTTAAACATTTTTGATTTACCTGTTTCTTGGAGGCTGTAGATACACCTATGTGATTAATTTCAGCAAGTTCGAAACTCAAGACTTCTCAAAACATCCGACAACGAATAGTAACACATGTAGTCGTATACTGGTTGGATCATTAAAGCATGCAAGTAAAATAATATTGCCTTTTCATTCTTGTCACGATAATAAAAAAATTTGTTCTTAAATACATTTTTATATGGAAATTAACATTATGAACACCTTAATATTTGATGATCCATATATTATTATGTTCGTTATTATTATCTTCGTTTTATTCGATTTGATGTGTGTGAAATGAATCGGTGATGGTTACCCATTGAAAGGAGTACTTCTTGATACATGTTCAATACTTATCGTTAGGTTATAACCAATTCAGATATCTTCAAACTGATTATAATCATCCGACCTTACAAGTTATCAACTGATAAACCCCATAAGTATTCTGAATTAATTGTTTGCTAATATTTTCTTATTTTACTTATTAAAGATATAATATCTTGTCAATATTTAAGTAATTCTTGTATTGTTTTGTATTTTGTTCATGAGTAAAGTATTTAATCACTTCCTATTTCTATGTTCCATTCTTTAGAGTGTTTTTTTCTTTTCGTATAACGCGTTGTATTTTAATAAGTATCAACAGTTAATTGAAATAACTTTCTCGTTGCTTACACTTTTTTTCTGTTAACAAATACTGTTGTTGTTCCCCTAGTGAAACTCTCAGTGTGCCAATTTTTCATTGGATATATGATCAAGTAATAAATTATAAAGAACATTTAGTAACCGATAAACGTGGTGGCGCTTTAAATCAACGTGCAATCCAAGCAGCTCGACGTTTAGAACTTGCTGTAGCCTGTTATAAAGAATTTCTCACTTGCCTAAATCGTATGCTTCATGTAACTGGAGCAGATAAGACTGTTCAACCAGGTGACGATGAAACACAAGATGGTGTTCACAAGCTAATGTTGCTGAGTCGATTTTTGGTACATAATGAATCATGCTACATTTATCTAATGAGTTGATCGATATTTATTACTGTCCCGTATCATTTTATGATTTAATAATAGCAAGAATTGCTTTGGTGAATACTATACGTTTGAATGTAATAAGATCCCATCATGAAATATGCAGTATTCCTACAACATTTCTGCGTTATCAACATTTAACTTTCTAACAGTTAAACAGTGACTAACTGGCCTATACATTCATCCTCAAGTGCTTACTACCAGTCGTATATGAATTTTATAGTAATCGTCTCTCGTTTGTCCAAGGGACAGAAGAGAAAGGAGATATACGAACCTTCATGGTGGTACTTCTTTAGTTTATCAGCGAATAGATTCGCGACAAGCTGTAAATATTTTAGGAAAGCCCATAAGTATACTTGTTTAGCAGTCATATTTAATTAGTTAAAACCAATCCTAAACAGAAACTGAAAACAAAATATTCACATTTAGAAAAATGTTAGTCTCGAATTTTGAAGAGGCCTCTACACAAAGTTTAACGTTTAGCGAATATACAAACTTTGTATAGAAGCTGCCATTTATTGTACATTTTCGATTTAGAAATGATCAGAAAGTATTATAAATGTGTATTCTTTGCGTACATTCTTAGGTACAACAACTATTCGTTCGTTTCTGGCTGATTATAGTTTTAAAGCATAGTTGACACAATCTCATCAATCCATAATGCAGTTTAAGTCGCATCTCAGTCACTGCTTTTTAAGATTATTTTTTATATGATTTATATATCCTAGTGAATTCAGTATTAGTTCATTCAATCAGCTGAAAACTGGCTAACAATATGTAGTGGCTCAAGTTATCATTTGGTAATTAAAGATTAAAAAAGCCTATATGTGAGATTAATGGAAGTCAAATGTGCAGAGTTTAGGGTGTTTTTCCATACCTCTTTTGAAATTCGCTTCATGCACCTTTATTATTCTATGTGTATAACTGACTTTAAAACAGTGGAACTGGCATAATGATGGGTATCGATTGTTGTTTTAGTCACAACTTAAAACCTGGTACGTATGTACATCGGTTCAAGTCGCCATACCTTCTTAGCACAGAGAAATGAAATTGTTAAGCCAAATCCCAGAGTAATAAAGGAAGTAACAGTATCAATGATAATGGAAACGATTAGGCATCGAAGATACGATTCGAGAAAATATAAATTAGTGAAATAAAAACAAAAAGGTGTTATAAGGGATTTAGAATCGATTGTTGTGTATTAAAAAATAAAACAGAGGACGTCTTGTAAATTTTTCAACTCTTTCCCCGTATGAATTGTTAATTGACTAAATGTGCACAATTTTAGAAGCTATACTTATTGTTGAACTGCCTCTTAAATGCGAAGTTGGGAAATGATGATGAATTTTCCATTGTATAAAGAAGACATAGTTTCTATCGTCGTTGAATGAAAGGGTAAAATTTATTGGGCTAGACATTCTTGTCTAATTAACTTTTTTCAATGTCATCAGTAGCATGGAATACGACCTATAGATGTGTTTTCTTGTCAGCGTTTTCCTGACAATTGGTTTGGATTGAAAAATCATCCAAAGTCAAGTATAGACTTTCTATGAAAAACGTCTAGTACTCAAAATATTTGTAATAGGTTGTTAGTTGACTCCTCCAACTTTCACAAACTTCCCATTGGCATTTAGTAATATTGTTTTCATAATGAAATACTTGACCGGAATTGTTTGTTGGTCCTAATAAATTTGGATTCATGCTATTTACTTGGTTTTCAGTTGGTGCTTAAAAATTTGACCCGACCATTAATTACGGTTTATTTTCCCATACTTCTTACTAAATGCTACTTCAATGGACAAAAAAATAAAGATGTGATCCTCCGATTAGATAAAAATAATGTATTAAATAGTATTCTTTTAAACATTGCTTCAACTCGGTCATTTATTACTAAACATTACCTTATTTAAAATTTGTTTCTGTTTCCTAACTAGTCTAAAACTACAAATCAATAGTTAATAGAATTTTTGATGGAACCTACTGCATTTTGCTTATATTTCACGCTTAATTCCCAGTCTAAGCATGTTTATTTTCAGAATAGGGGTTGTGGAGATTTTTGAGCTTTTGTTGAAATCATAAATCGACAAATATTAGATCACGATTGAAAACCTGGAAACACTGGACGACCGTCTTGTTCTAGTATGGGACTCCTGAGCAGTGCGCATCCATGACCTCGCACGCCGGATTCAAACCCAGGACGTTCGGTCTCGCGTGCGAACGCCTAACCTCTGGACCATTGAACTGGTATCCAACAGTTTTAATGTCTAGCTTCAATCAATCCACGATGTTGCGCGACCATCTTCCATTGTCTTCTGTTGGTAACTGTCTTGCACTCCACTAGTCACGGTTTCTTTTTTGCATGTAATGCTTTTACGTTCTAGTGCCTAGTATTCCTTGGACACCATACTTCAATATTTTTTCCTAAATCGGAACAAGAACTGAGAAGGAATAATATATGTTCAATAAACTCGATCAACAAAGATATGATATTAAAAACTTTAGAGTTTTATATTAAATTTACATCTCGTTTCCTCCATTGGCGCTGATTAGTCCGAAACAAGCCAATCATTGCTTGCAGTTTTGTAACTCATCAAAGCATTCAATAGTCAGGTTGTAGCCTGCTAATGAATATAGTATATTAGTATTCGTGCCTGGTCCTATGCTATTTATGATTGACCACTTTATAATCATATTTACTTTTAACTACATAGTTTTCGCTTTTATTTACAGCCAATGTATTTTATGTTGCTGAATATCAAGAACTATTCCCAAATCTTTTGAAGGACTACAATGAAATATTCATGTCCAAGTATGTTCAATCCATTTTATCTTGATTAAGATAATGTCTCCAAAGTCATTTTGGGATCCGTTTAGTAACCATATATTAAATTTAGTAGAATGGACTGACTAGTTTTATTTATCACAGGTTACCTTGGATCCACGTATCAGATTTCACTCAACTGAGTAATATCAGTAATCTGGTATATAAAGTTATATATACGTGTTGAGTAGAATATTTGTGGCTGCATATATATACATCCGAAGCAGACCAGATATTATGATCCTGAAACCTGACAAAGGTCCTTGGCTGGTTGTTATAAATAAATGCAACTATAAGGTGAAAATGTTATCTATGTTTGTTGATGAAAGTTCCTGGCGGACGTTCTATCCAATATTAATGTTAGAAAATTGGGATCCAGAGTAAATTCCAACCTAATGAAGCTCCTTAAAATAAACGTTATAAACAAAGAGGAATTTAATGTGCTAAAACCTAACGGTTCTGTACTTCCGAATTTATATGAATTACTTAGAATTCGTAAACTAATATTATCTATATGTGATGTACCTGCACATAAACTAGCAAAATGGTTAGCTAAATTGTCAAATCCAGTCCGTGATAAATTATTTAAGTTTTTTTTTAAAGATACCTTTTAACTAACTGATCTTCGTGATGAGATTAATCCTAAAGAAAAGAGTATGCATCATTTTGATGTAAATCCTCTTTCTTATGAATGTACCTTTAACCAAGACTTGGTTTCCTTTGTGACTATATATCGAGTAATTCCCTCCTTTTTTCCTATTCGGTCAACACTTTTAAAAGAACTACTTTTATTGTGAACTGCAAAAGTGCAATTCACGCTTGAAAGTGAACATCTGCAAGTTGGTGATGTTGCTCTGGCTAACCCTTTGGGATCTCTCTTAGCTAATGTATTTATGTAATATGTTAAAAATGTGATGAGTTAACTCTGTATAGGGGATACGTAGATGATATATTAATCATATATAACAAAAATTTCTATGTTACTCAGTTATTAAATAAACTCAATAGGGTACAGGATAATATCGTAATAACCTATGAGGAAGAAAGTAATAATCACTTGTTGTTTTTAGTCAAACTTTTGAGTCCAAGGAAGAATGGAGCTATAAGGCGGTTCGTTTATAGGAAGCCATCCTGGACTGTTCAGTATTTAAATTTCCACTGTTTCTGCCCATTAAAATACAAGCGAGGCTTGATAAAGTGCCTCTTTAACAGGACTCAAAGAATATGTACAACAAATACTGTTGAAGAAGATGCAAAACTGCTGACTGATACATTGATATCAAACGGTTACTCACCAAAGCTTTTAAACAGATGCAAAAGTCAGTCAACACCAAAACCTTTATTTCTGCTTTAAAATGAAGTGTTTATATTTCCCTACCATTTAGATGTGAATCTAACAGTAAAATCTTAAGACAAACTGGAAGCAACCATCGAGAAAATGGTTATATATATAATATCAAAAAAGTTACTGCTCTATCAAGAACCCTGTATTGGATAAACATATCCAGTAAACTGGAATTTATAACTTGCGTGCTTCAAACCAATGAAATAATGAACGATCAATCTATTATTTTAGTCTCTTGTCAATCAGTATACTGTGTTGTTATAAGTTTCGCGATAAGCTAATTTCTATCAAAATATCATGATTTCTTCTCCTCTAGAGACTATTTGCGTGATTTGGTTGAAGGTTCTCACTTATTTATAACTTTACTTTCCAACAAGATCTGTGGTAGCAATAAAAAAATTATCGTGAAACGTTGAAGAGTTCACCGAAGGAAAAAGCGTTCCTCTAAACCTAAAAAGGAAACTCATAGAAGAGATATTCGAAATCATGAACCTGAAGCTGTGAGAATTAGCCGTCTCGAACAACAATGGTCTAATCAGTTAGAACGTCCCTTAATAGAGATTTTACTTGGAACAGCATATCAAGAGAATGAACAGGATGAAAGTGATGATGAAATGAATGATACAAGACTCTTCGATGCAACTACAGGAAACAGTGAAGATTAGCAGTTGAAATCGGCCATTCGTCGAGTTCAAGCTGCTTTATTTGCAGGCTCAGCTAAAACTGCTTTATCAATGGCCAAGAGAATGTGACGTCTTTGGCCAGAAGTTGCTCCAGTTTCAATTGAGGAAGATAATTCAACGATTGATGGTGGGCGTGCTGCAGGATTACGGCCTGAATGCTTGAATGTATTAGGGGCTTTACAGCAAATTCATATTACTGAACTAGGTTAGTTCTTTAAATTCTTGTTATATTATTATTCTCACTCTATTGTTTCTATAGTTCATTGAATTACAACCAAAGTACCTTAATGATATGTTTTTGTTAGGATTAGAACAATGCGACCAACTTACTATAAAATATTCGACCATATACAGTTTATCGCATATTTTGTATAAATATGCACAAGGTGACACAGTCGTTTGTTTATTCAAGTTCCTATATATCATATCTTTACAGAGAGAAAATTGATGGTGGACGTAGGAAAATCGAGACTAATAGTGCAAACAGTAATAGAATATAAAGCTAAGACGAATATAAGTATGCAGTAATACTGTGTTCAGAATTTATTGGAAAATAAAGAACATTCTGCACAACTGCGGTCGGTTTTTTAATATGAACTGATATTGTAGCTTTGTCTGGTCGTTCCTTTTGTTTTCCAAAACTATATCTATGCTAACATGAACAACAACCCAGAAAAAGTAATGGTTATACACTTACAGCACTTATCGGCCACATCATTTAGTATAAACTCACATTTTAATCGGCTTATTTATCATTTTTACCTAAAACTTCAAGTCTTCTATCAAGATTGTATAACCTCTGTGGATTTACCATACACGACCATGCATTGAATGCGTGTTTTCACCCCTCAAAATCCTCATTTTACAGTTCTCTTATCGTTTTGTTGAGGAGACGAAGGATTTTACATGTCCTGCAGGTGGCATAAGTCAACAGAGACTAAGATTCCGTGAATTTTAAACTCTTCAGGACATACAAAACTCCTAACAGATTAACAGTCAGGTGCTTTATTGTATATTGTGAAAATAAGCATTGACACAAACCATCTTTGAAATAGCGTTTTACATTGAAAATGAACTGAAAAATAATGTTAATAACATTATTGCTTTATCAAGAACCCCGTACCAAATAATCATTTCCAGTAAACTGAAGCTTTTAATTTGCGTACTCCAAACCAATGAAATGGTGAAAGGCCAATCCGTTATTTTCAGTCTGTTGTCGATCATCGTTGCCTCCGTAGCTTTGTCATGCCCAATAGCACCTTTTGGTAATCCTCCGAGGTCCAGTAATTGTATTCCGGTTTAGTGATAATGTTCTGATTAGTGTCACGTTCTTGAAACCTTGACTTCAACTTCCTGATCGTGTTTAATGAATGCTTTTGGGGCATCTCGCACATCACACATAATTTTCCCATACTGGGACTGGGTCGTAAAAACAGACAGGTGTTCGGTGTGCAACACGGCTCCATGGTATGAAGGATATTTGTGTTGGATTACTATCTATCGATCCATTACGACTATCTGGTTAAGGTACTAGAAACTCTGCAACTTCATTGACTTGGGACCGTTATCAGATATGGTGTAGAATAAAAGCGGGTGGAGATCCTGTCATACTTTTTCTTTACTCAAGTGGGATAAACTCACTTAAATAAAAATGTGTTTCTTGATAGTATTACTAAATGATTTGTACCTTTCTAGTCTGTTTATTCATGGAACACCTTGCTTCTCTCTTACTGTTTTCACAATATTACCACTTTATCAATGTAGTTATTTTTTCTGATGATCTATTATACCAGAATTAATCTGCTATAAATAATATGTTAGTTCTGTGTTTGATTTTTATCCAAAATTAACCCGTTTATTTCCTTCATACATTTAAGAGGAAGAAGAAGAACAGCAGGTACTAAATAATTCTTCATCGAATAGTAGTGATAGTGATAACCTTTACAACGAAGAACTTGGCATAAGTGATGCAAATGATGAAGAACTAGTTACTACTGAAAAAGAAGTAGTTCTAGACTTTAGTACTTTTATGCTCAAATTTATTCATCCACGTGTTGTACATGCTTACACGTAGGTTTTCACCATTTCCTTGAATTAAACAAAATATCATCAGCTATATAAAAATATTTGTTTTAAGTAGGATATCACGTAATTTGCTTCATTCTCGTACCTAATAATTAACAAATAGAATCATATTTATTACTAACAAGTTATAATTTATTGTTTATTTAATCCAAATCAAAGTTTGATTAATATATTACCTATAGAACTATCAAATATAATTTGTCTATCGCTCGCAATACTGCTTTATACTGTTTTATACTTAGAATTTAATAAAAATACTTGAGATTCATTACTGAATGAGGAACAGAATACTAGAGACTGTGAACTAATTTTTTTTCTTGTTACCAGACACATTGAAAATAGAATCGTCAATGAGATATAGTAATAAATATCAATATGTAGAACAAATAACTGTTGGACGTTTCAGTCATGTAATAAAATAAGCAATTTGTATTACTTAAGTTTCCTGATGTCGAATTGTAAAACAGAAACGTTTTTTGTGATCTTTTAATTACATCCAGAATTTATGTACACTTTGTAGTGAGTTTATCAATCATTTCGTTATGATATGATATTCAAGTAAGGCTGATTATAATGATGATGATGTTGAGCTTTAGAATTCAAAAAGTTTGACATACAATGAATCATAATTAAAATTCTTGCTAATACTGTACGTAGATGGACAGATCTGTACAAACTCATGCGACAGGTATCTGATTGTCGTATTTATGTGTATTTAAGCTCAAGCTAGTGTCACTGAAAGGAAAAAAAGAAAAATTGTTTTTGATAGTTCAAAGAGGTGTTTGTTATAATTATTTTCAGTGTTTACTGGACGTGAGTGTTTTAATATTCTTAAATAATTATTATAATCCGTTTGTGTAGCCAATTAATGAATACTATCTACATTATTTAGTTTAGTTTTAGAGAATTACGATAATAATCCTGAATCAGTCAATCATGCAATTGTACATACTATTCATCGATTGGCTGTACGAGAAAGATTACCTGGTTGCTTTTTTCAATTACGCTTATTTCGAGTATTTCAAAAATTTCTACACGATTGTGCTTTAGCTACTTCGCCAGAATTTAAAGTGAGTATAATAACCAATTTTATGTGGAAGTCACTTTTGTACAGTATGTGTTTTCGCTGTTATATTACTTGTTACAATCATTTTAGGCAATGTTTTATCCAACATTTACGGTAACATTTATTTCGAATAACTAAGAGGATAAATTATATGGGTATGTTTGTGTGTCTCGAAAACACACACCTCCATGTAGCATTAAATGCTTGAGGTTTTATGGGTGAAATATTTTATTTAATTTCGATAAGAGTCTGGGGGTTGAAAGTACTACCGTGTTATTGTCAGCTTGTTTATAGAAAGTGGGAAATTGTATTTCATAGATTGATGTAATTAACGTTAGTAACAATGTAAGAAGTTATAAACCAAGCTTAACAGTTGCTACAATGGTTACCGAAATAGTCAATACCAACAGGTTCATAAAAGTATCATTTCTCTTTTTAGTAGAACTATGGTTCAGTGATTTTAACACATGATTTCGACTATTAGGTTGAGGGTTCAAACTTGTTTTCATGCGTTCTCTAACCATAGTATACTATTTTGTTCTTGATTACTGAACTTTATTACTCATTATGGGTGTCTGTCTGCTTCGATACGATGAAGCATTTCCTTATTCGATATTGTGTATGATTATTCAGTTGTTAACACAGTTATTTAATATAGCATTCCTCACTTTAGCTGCTGAACTTTGAATAAAAGACTTGAATAATTATAAACAACCTTGGTCAAGACGTACAGGTGATGAGTAATAATGGTTCTACAGTTGCATTTTTATGTTTGCTTTTCTAGTTCACAACCTGGTCAAGTAACTGGCTAAGTAACAAATCCTCTTGCCCATACATTTTCTTTAATTGAACGACTAACTGTTTTCACATGAGATGATTTTTTTGATAGATATTATGATGTTAGACTACTAAAATCGGTTTCATTCTTCAATTTGTCTATATGCTAAGTTTTCAACTGTACCTGTTTCGGACAGTACGGTGCAGAGACAGACCAAACGAACTTGCATTCAAAGCAACCATTTCACTTTATTAGGCCTCTTTGTATACTGGCCACTTGTGTTCAACCTTTCCTACCCATAAATATTTTGATGTGCACTGTGTTCATCAAGAAGAAGTGTTATTTTTTGAAAGTGTTTATTTTTCTATATTTTTCTAAATGAATCATTTTGAGGGAATTTTTTCATTAAAATTATTTTGATTTAGTTGACATTTGTTATACTTATTTAGGATGACAATTGAAAAATATGTATCGTTTATTAAAGTCTCGTATAGTCATCTTTATCAGTCATCTACAACTTAAGATTAAGCACATATATGCATCGGTCCAAGTTGCCATACCTCATTAGCACAACATTGTCAGTCATTCATGCTACAATCAAATTGATTTATCAGGTTTTTGTTATGTTTTTTCCTGTTATAATTTATCAGGAATTAGCAAATCTCATTAAATATATCTTAAGAAAATTCTTTGAAGCTGAGGAGAAAAACAACTGTATTCTAATTGAAACTTTTCTTTAAAACTCCTAAAGTTATGAGACAGTTCAAGGATATGGTACTTTTGAGAGCAAGTAAGTTAACACTATATATATATCATGTACGTTCGTACCTTAACTTATGTTAGAAATGCAGTCTGCAATATCACGGGAAAAAAAAAACAATTTTTCTCTCGTGACATGATAAAATCGTTTCCGTTTGTTTTATTATTCCCACTTATTCGTTTGCGTTAATGATTCAGCTACAGTGAACGAATCATTTTTAAAAGAATTCAAACTTTTTTACAGTAAGAAAACTATTCATTGTACCAGTGAACATGATAAAGAATTAACTCAACTATTTGAAGCTTATCGTCATGATCCTGTACCTTCTGGTAGGTTATTTATTTCGTGATAATATTTTTGAATAAAATGAATTTTCTTATTCACATTCTATGTTTAGGTTTCCTTATATTAGGTAATTTATTAGGAATATTTTATTTGCATCGGATGGTATAGGGAGATGATAATAATTTGAATGTATATAATCCGCTTAGGCCGATGTGTTGTTGGTAACAAGTAATGCAATTCTGAAGATATTCAGTCAAACCTACTTGGTTATTTGTTCTTCATGGTTAGAAATTGTATGTGGCTCTACATATGATCGATAGCGGTCATATAGTGGACAGAAACAAGTCGTTCAAAGTTATTTATCGGATTCCCACTAGTTTTCCTTATGGTGTTCGATCTCGTCTCTTACACATAGCAGAAGCTATAGGAATCCGAGCCAACAAGCCAAGTCTTTGTGTCCAGAAGAAATTTGTAACTCCCTTATCTCTCCCTTGGCCTTAAGTAATAAATGAATGTATTTATTTATTTATTTATTTATTTATTTATTCTCTTCGTTTATTATTTTTCTTCACACCCTCCTACCACTTTATTTTCTCTCAACTATACGTTTCATGGTCCAATTATCTGAACATTTCTTATTACGTCATCTTATAATTTTATAATTGTTATCTCAGTTTCTATATTTTTCTAATCATTGACCTATTTCAGACTATGTAACATTGATTTGAACCTTTATTATTATTGCTTATCAAAAACTAATGCACCTGTTGTCACACCATCAATTTGTACTTTTCACATTTTACTTATTATGTAATCATTTCCATTGTTATCATTGACTTATAAACTACCTTGATTGGTTTAATAATTTCGTATATGCATATAAATATTACTGTATATTAGAGGATCTAATATGAGGATCTAATCGAAAACAATATTGTTCGCTTATATATGTTGTTCATAAAAATAATGTTAATAAAATCAGGAACAATGAGTGTAGCAAGAATTTATTTTTTTGGCGAATTCTATTCAACAGTTGGTTACAATCTAAAAACAATTAGAACAACACATATAAGCGAATAATTGTTTTCAATTAGATCGTCATCAGGCTTTACTCTAATATACATGAATATTTATACGAAAATGTTAAACCAATCAAGGCAATATGAGTCAATAATCACAATGAAATAGAATAAGTCTCTACACATAATAGGTAAAAGTACAAGTTGATAGTACGAAGACAGGTGAACAGATAGTGGTAAGAATAATAAACTACAATAACAAAACTCTTATCAATAGTTAATCGTTGGTAATAGAAGGTCAAACAAACATGGGTAAATAGACTAGGAATAGTAATCACAAAACCTTAAAAATCATTACGTAATAAGATGTGTGTAAATAATTAGATAGTGAAGAATACAAAGAGGCGGATAATCACAAACAAATAATGGATGTGGAAATAAGGTTAACAATAACACAGATAGAATAAAATAAATAATGATATTAATAAAATTTAAAATAAAAATAAAAAATTGTTAGTTAAGTTATAACTGGCCATGGAAGGGATAGGGGAGTCACGTATTTCTTCTGTACACATAGATTGGGGGTATATGTACGAATCCCAATGGCTTCAGCTATATATAGAAGACGGGAACGGACTCCGTCGGGAAATGATGGAGGTATACGATAGATAACTCGAAATGATTTCGATTTCTCTACTGCATGACCGCTATCAACAAGATGTGCTAGTATAGAACTGCGAATAGTTTTTCTCTGACCCTTTATGTACCAAGTTGGTAGATGTTCACTCATTCGTTGGTTACGTTGCCTGGTAGTACGCCCTATATAGCGATCTCCACAGGAGCAGCAACCACTCATAGTCCCTGTTGCTAATCGTATTTGGGTTTATGGATTGGTTTATCATATTAGCAGCCTAAAATGCGAACATAGTTTAGATAATAAGATTAAAAATTTAGGTACTATCAACTACACTAGTAAAATAACTAAATCCCTAGGTAGCTGTTGGCTAAACAAACGTTTAAAATCAAAACTCCGTAGCCTACTAGAATTAACACTAAACGAATCTTTCTGAATTAAAATTTATAATTAAATTAGGCGTTTTGGATTCTTTAACGTTACAAATTTCTGATAATTTCGAATCACGTAAAGCAACAATACCTATTTTTCCATTGACTAATCCTCATTCAACACTATAACTAGTTAAACATAATAGTTTCAGGATATCGTCATAAAGCATTGTTATGACTTGACGATCACGTAATATGATTGATAAAATTAATGAAACTATTAACAAAATCGGTCAGCAAATTGACTTATAATTATCACTAGTGTTGTTTTTCTTTTATCTTCATTCACTACAGATGATTACAGTATGTTTCTCTATCAGTTGCTCATTCAGTAAATATCTCAAAACCTTGTCAGTCTAATTGATGGTTTAGCGACACAATCATGCATGCAAATAATCAGTATAAGCAGTCGAGCAAATCTCCTGCAAACTGAAAGCATCAATGTGGAATTTACCCCAACACTGACTGAGGTTCAAGCCATTATCATAGACACGAGTTGGGAGTGTACTCCCCCTGGTTACAACTTATGTTCTCCCTGATAATCACATGAGCATCACTCACTATTAATCATCTTGTAAAAACTTATCTAGCATAATACATCTTGCAGCACCACATCACTTCGTAATATGACACAGGCCTAACTGGTTTTAATAACTTATAACCACTATATCTCAATTAAATCGTATTCCGCCTTATGATAAACTGCATACTTGCAACTAACTTGTATGCCCAATCAGCCAGCAAGTATAAATATAAGTAAATAGTTTGCCGCAGATCAGAACATTGAGTCTAGAGCATGTCTTTTACGAGTACACTCATGTTTAATGATTTTTTCCTAGCTATCTGTCCAAAATTCATATAATCATCACTCACGTATTTAAATTTTGTTTTGATAAACATTCATGTGTATTAGTAGTATTACTAAATTCTATCACGGTCAAGTAAAAATGAGGTTGAGAAAATCTCCCCGTAACTAAATAAACCGTATCAAACTAACTGGAACACTAGTTAGAATTCTTCTCCACGGTATACTTTTGTTCCTTCAGTTAGCCTACTAGGTTTCCTTATATTAGGTAATTTATTAGGAATATTTTATTTGCATCGGATGGTATAGGGAGATGATAATAATTTGAATGTATATAATCCGCTTAGGCCGATGTGTTGTTGGTAACAAGTAATGCAATTCTGAAGATATTCAGTCAAACCTACTTGGTTATTTGTTCTTCATGGTTAGAAATTGTATGTGGCTCTACATATGAACACTATCTATCATAAAAATATTGTTAATAAAATCAGGAACAATGAGTGTAGCAAGAATTTTTTTTTGGCGAATTCTATTCAACAGTTGGTTACAATCTAAAAACAATTAGTTATTTGTAAAGCAGTACAACGTACCTACTCTGTGTGGAAAATGTCTTGATTAAAGTTAGATTCGGGATATAAATGGAGACTGACCAAAGACTATGATCATAGTGGAATGAATAAGTCCTCATTATCACATCTTTTTGATAGAATGAAATAACTGTTTTTTCTCTTTCTAAAACTAATTTAATAGGTAACGATTTAGCTGATCTATTAGTCAAACATTTTTCCGATCCAAGTAAAACTCGTCGACAAGTTATTGCTAGATTGATTATATTGGGCTTGATTACATCAGCGAAACAACTCAAAGAAATTATGTTAGTTAATTTATATATTTTTTCTCTAAAATATTCTTATTGTTATTTTATTCTGAGCAAATAACAACCTAATACTCCATGCATACTTCATCAACACTAAGAGACACTAGACGAACATGATATTGGTCACCACTCAGTGATCAATTAATTGTAAATATCACAGTTGTACATGAGATCAGTCACCGCCCGAATAGTTCAGTGGTAATGTTTTAGACTATAAAACTAGGCATGTTCGAACCCCACAAACAGCATCAACATTCTCCGTTAACTCTATCATGTCTTTACATTAGTTATTCAGGTTTTACAATGGAATATATAAAGTCAACACTGATTAAACAACTTTGATTCAGTTAACAGTATGTCTCTAAATTTAGTGTCATTTGTAAAAGTATTAGTAACGAGTTATAAAATGTTCGGCGGGATTATGAGGACAACAGGTGCGATTTTTTATGATAATACACAAATAAATTTAATGGGTACTCTTAAAACCTTGTATTTCATTGCACCGTTGAATATCAGAAGGCAGTACTAGGCCTATGGTTACAAAGAATTGACATTAAGAAAGAACACTACTGTTTACATACATTTCTATGTAACTTAAAATTACAATAGTGTTGTTTATGGATTGAGTGAACATACAAGTAGAAGCGGCTTCGATTAAATCATTTAATTCGGTAGATAGTCGGGTAGGAAAGATCTTACTAACTTCCCTTTTGCATAAATATTAGATTGCATTATATGAACCTGTAGTGAGGTTTCCAATGAATGTAAAAATGGAAAATTCTCGACGTAGGTGAGAGAATGGCTGATCATTAAAATTGTAAACGTAGATCGAATTTCAGAATTAAATGAATTATTCGTGTATATTGAGTAAGGTAGCTTTTTTATTAGACTGATAAGTTATCTAATATGTTCATTTGGGTGCAAATAGGCAACCAATCGAATTTTTTATACATTCAGTACTATTGTTTTTAAGGAATTTGGTTTATAAAATATTAAAATCTCTATGTATAAGTTCAACATCTTTGAATTCCGTATAATGCAAACCATAAAATTCATTATTGATAAACATTTTAGAGTTCGTCCCCCTGAACCTCTTAGCGGACGAAATCGATGTTTACTCAACAATGGAGAATCCAGTGAGTGGACTGAACAGGAGATAGCTCGACTAAGAGACATAGTCGAGTTACACAAAGGTTCAAAAAGTAAGAATCCATATCATGTATGCAGTTTTTAAACTTACATTTATAGTGTTTTTCACTCATGGTACTTTTCATTTTAAGGTCGCTATAAAGTTTTTACCAAAATAAAATGTATACTTCTAATATTAATTGTAGATAAAATTAATTGTCCATTCGTAACTGTTGTTGTGTTTTATGATATGTTGTTTACGTCTACTTATAGATATGCTAACTGAAATCATGAATGAAAGAAAGGTAGACCATGATTTAGCTGTTCAACGTTGTTTGGAACAAGAATTAATTATGGATGAAAATCAGTCAGACAAATATATTCCACCTATTCGTGCCAGACGTGTAGTAGCTGCTAAAATTCTTGAACTTGATCTAGTGGATAATGAGAATCAACTTAAAACAGCTGTCTATAAAAGGAAACGTACAAAAGTACAAAACGTGGATATGGATGTTTCAAAAGAACTAAAGAAAAGCAAGAGTTGCAAGAAAAAATTTTCATCAACGTCAGATGACGAACGATCCATGAATTCATCATATGAAGAAGAAGAAAAAGAAGCAAATACTTCACACAACTCAGATTCAAAACATAACACAGATGAAAATACCAGTCCTGAATATATTAATCAGTTAGTTGAATCAAATAGACCATCTGATCAAGTGGATCACATTACCTATGTGAATCATACTCAAGATGATTATACCTGTGGAGCAGTTTCTCCAAACTCAGAATCAGGGTAAAAATAGGTCTAATAACACTATATCATGTACATATAGTTATATGGTGCTCAAAAGTATCATAGTGGCTATTTCTTTTTATGTATATAAAATTCCATTATGAAAAAATTATTAAAAATTAGGCAGTGTGTAAACTGGGATATGATGTCCATAAATTTGCGTAGACGTTTACTCATAAGTAGTAGACTGCGTAGAACTTCCTTAGGTATTCAGTTGAGTTTCTTTTATCTCTAATTCATTATCCCACTCCAAAGCTGGTATGAACGTGACGCTTGAAAAAAAATCAGTTGCTGGAATAATTAACAATACTGATTGTTTTTCATGTAAGTAAGGAAAACGTTGAAAAGGCATCCCTTGATAGTTATTTTTATAGTTTTTCTTCCATAATTTCACTGTTATACACAGGACTTTCCCTGTACTTACATTTAAGCTTTCTAAGTATCTGTGAAATGACCATCGTGGGATGCGCTTCTCCCCCTCTAAATGCAAGTTGTTGCTTCAGGACTGGCCTGCGTCAACACCTGAACTAAGGATAGGGAGTGAGACAGTCGAACTCGTTGACAACTTCACTTATCTTGGAAGTCTGATCAGCCCTAATGGGTTGGTGTCTGACGGAATCTCAGCACGAATTCCAAAAGCTCGTTCGTTGTGTTTTACTTTACGGCTGCGAAACATGGCCTTTAAGAGTAGAAGACGCTCGTAAGCTACTAATATTTGACCACAGATGCCTTAGAAATATTGCTCGCATCTGCTGGGATCACCGGGTAAGTAATAGTGAGGTTAGACGTAAGCTATTAGGGAATGACGATGAATCAGTTGATGGGGTTGTTAATCTTCATCGACTGAGATGGTTGGGCCACGTGTTACGTATGCCCGAACACCGATTACCGCGACGTGCAATGCTAACCAGTGTTAGAGATGGTTGGAAGAGAATTAGGGGCGGCCAAACCAAAACGTGGCATCAGTGCTTGAAGACACTAACTTCTAGTCTGAGCCATGTTGGTAGATGCAGACTACTTGGTTGGGGTCCGCGTGACTTTCGTAACCAATGGCTGGAGACTCTTGGTAACATGGCTCAGAATCGATCACAATGGCGTAGGTGTATACACTCCCTGTCTTCCCTTAAACTAAGAGATTAAAATTGCTTTATATATTTCTATCTACGTACTAATTCATTCTTCCTCTATTATGTCCTTATATGCAGTCTTTCTTTTATATATTACCACCACTGGATTAACTGCTTCTATGAATCCGGTGTTCATCTTGCTGTGCTAATGAGGTATGGCAATCTGAACCGATGTACATATGTGCCTGGTTTTACGTTGTAGCTGATTGACCATCGTAATTCTAGAAATTCTAAACAGATAAAAGCAAGAAAGTGCTTCTCTAGTACATGAACAAGGGTAAACATCGCTTCATGGAACTAAAATAAAATGTGTATTGGTTAATACCGAACTCAACTATTATATATGGTTTCTACACCTATGGTCCTGACAGTCCTATGGTGCACGACTTCTTTCTGATTCAATTGCTGATATTAAATCTAGTAATAATTTCTCTTCATTTGAGTGTGATAATGGTAATCGCTTATTTGAAGTCGCATCGCAAGTTGGTATTCATTAGTATCTACTTATGGAACGAAACGTTAACCAGATATAGCGTCAATTACCAAATATTGGTTTCATGTTTAAAATAAGCACTGACTGCCAGAGTTTGATTCTAACCCTTATTCTGCTACATGTTAGAACTCTATTCTCGGATATGCTTACGCTAGTATTCATATACAACATTTTTCTATTATATTTACTCTATATTTCACAAAGGTCTCCGAAAATGCCAGTTCAAAAGAGAAGGCGTCTATTATCCTCAGATGATGAGAATGAAGATGTTCTTGATACTTATCATTCAGACTCGTAAGTATTCCAATTATATGGTTTTGTGTCCGCATCATTTATCCTTCAGTGTATTACTCTAAACAGATTGTACATGTTTAAACCAGTGATTGGTGACAGCTTTCTAGTGAAAAACCGCAGACTGGATAATAGTGAATCTACTACGTATTTTTGAAATTAATTGGCTTTATTTCGTGTTTCGGATATAATTAATTTAAATTCGTACGCCTTTTTACCAGTAAAAATTATTGTACGCTTAAAAAGATATTAAATCATCCTGATGATTATCTCACTAAGTCATTAGAACTAAATCTTAATATTGATATTTTTTGTCCCCTGGCTTAACTGATACACTCTACAAGTGAAAGATGCCTAATTGTTTCGCTCGAAGAGAGATCATATAATACATGAAACTTTCCTGTTATATTCTGGAACACTTAAGCGGATAACTTTGCCTGTTCTTCACTAGCCCAGAACAATGAGCTTTTGTCAGTGTTGCTGGAATTTCATTATAAATCTAGACAAGCCAGAGTAGTGTATACAAAATGAACTTATGTGATTTCCTCTACCGTGGTCTTAACTTCCAATATTCCGAAGCGTTTACCCTGTGCTTTATCTCCATTGATCCTAACTCTCAAACTTAATTCTGTTTCCATTATTTCCTTCTGATTACATTTCCAAATTTTACGCAACACTTTCGCACAATTTTTAATCTTTATGAATATTCAGATATGATATGGTGAGTTGATCATTGATAGGATAGGTCTAAGAGGAACATCATGTTTGTGAACTTTTGGTAAGCCATACATATGAGGTAGACGTGAACCACGTGGTTTTAGATTGTTGTAAGTAGAATTATCAATCATTTTCGTTTTTAGGAGTTCTCTAAGCATGCCTGTGATTCGTTTTTCTGTTGAATCAGTCAAATCTTTTTGGGATTTATCTACTTTGAACCTCCGTTGGTCGTTGAGGATTGACTTCATCTTAGTGACATAATCAGCTGTATTCAATAGGACAACACCCGAACCTTTATCCGGTTGTAAAATCATCACCTCATTATTTTGTTTGATGTTTCTGAGGGCTATTAGATGTTCTTTGGATAGAATATTCGACTTTGGTGTTGATGACACGAAGTATTGGTTGGCAATATCAACTAACTTTGATTTGAACCATCCTTTCTTTTCCTCATTCATTGGCTGCAAATCTTTTAACTGGTCAAACAGATTTTCGAATTGAGCTTCTGTATCAATCCTGTCAGTATTTGGTTTTGGTATATGAAATTTGAGTCCCAGTGATAAGGCTTCTGTTTCTATACTATTAAGCTTCGTATTTGATAAGTTATAGATAAACATCGAAGGGTTTTCCGGAAACCCAAAACATAGTTGTTCTCTTATCAGAGTTTTCGATAGAGATTTATGGAAATCCTTGCAAACCTTGATTTGAAGATCACGGATAAAGTTCATGAATTTTATTCGACATACGATGTTTAGATCATTAACGGCTTTACCAAAAGCACCGGCCTCACTCCTTAGTCGTGTAATGAGTAATTTTGTCGATTCAATGTGAGATTTGGTAATGCGTCTTAGATTTTTAAGCGATGGTGGAAGTTTACATGAACGTAAGGATTTTACAAACTGATGTGGGAAACAGCCCGACGTGAGACATTCTCCATAAAACTTGACCCTTGTAACTTCTCTTGATATTCTGCAACGTACTGTCACAAGGTGATTCAGTGACTTAAATAACTGATCAGGGAGGCGTTTTTTGAGAAATTTCATACACATAGTTCCCTTTATCATTTTGAAAAGAGCAAGAACAAAGATTCTAGCAGAATAGCATGAATTCATTTTATTTCGTAGGTTCTCGTCAGCTGCTTACAACCTGTGATATTTAAAAATCATAATTGCATAATGGATTAAAATTGCTTACAGAATATTGTAAATATATACCTAATGTGAAAGAATATTCTACAACATTAATTGTGACAACAGTTCAAAAATGAGTTAGAAACAATTGATTACATAATGAATAAACATTGATAGGAATATAGTGATTAGAGTTCAGTTGGAAGATTATTAATTTGAAAGATAGTTGAAAAAATAAATTAGAATCAATGATGTAATAAATGCAACAGAAAAAAGGGGAGAAAAATGAAAAAAATTTTAAGGTTCAGTGAAGGAATATTTGTCACCAGGGTAAGGAAAGATTAACCACCGTCTCCTTTTGAATACATAGGTCAGGTTTTTGTCGCCTGATGGCAATGGCTTCAGCAAACTTCAGAAGACTGGAGTTTGGCTTGATGATGTCACGGGTTTTCAGTGTATGACAACGCTTCTACCAGTAACACCTTCTAATATATTTCGTTCCCGCCCAGAGAAATCAAAAGACAGAGTCGAGGAGATCGGAAGAGTATATTTGGCGATGACCAATATATCGGAATTCTCTGATCTAATCTGGCTAGCGATTGCGGTTGATGTTGAGCACGGCGTTACCACACGTGATCTGGTGCGGATGCCTGACCGAGCGCCTTCAGCTAGATGAGTCCACTAAAAGATATGGTCAGCATCCAATGTCGAAAACATAGGGCTATTTATTTTGGGGATTTATTTACCGCTACAGATCACCCCCCCCCTAGTGAGGCAGTGACGACCCTAAGACGTGGCCAGCCAGAAGTTTAAACCCAACGAGTTTGTCGTTGGTAAACACTCTTCTGATAGCTTACTACGTGTAGCAGCGTCTGGTCGTCTTTCCTTACTATATGGGACGGATGTACAACATAGTAAAAAAAGAAAATGTACAATGAAAATTTCGGATCCTCATAAACTGCATCGTTCTTTGCCAGCCGTCCTGGAAAAGAAAAAAGAAAGTGTAAGTGTATGTCGAAAATACATTCGTATGTGCGTAAAAACACAATGTCGGCGGAAAAAAATGGAAAATAAACTCATGAACAGGTAATAGCGTTAAAAAATAATTGTTTTTTTGTTTTTTTTAAATAAAAATAAAAATATATAAGCATATTAAAAAATTTTTTAAAAAATAATATAAAATGTCGAGAAGTGCCTTACGTGCAATAGTCGTTTAAATGTTCTGGAAATCTCACCCTTCTTCCAGAACGCGTCGTTTTAAGTATATTTTCGGATAGTGTCGAAGTATCATCGTGTGTGTTGGTTGTCGGATGAGGTATTATAAGTGTCAGGGTCGTGTCGTTCTATTGTACAGAAGGAAATAGGACGTGAATAGGATTTCCTTCTAAATACGCTGCTTTTAAGCGATCGATGCTGATGCTATCGTTGGTTCCGTTCTTATCGACTATATAGTACTTAGATTCACGTTGAAGAACTTTGAAGGATTCTTCATATGCTGATTCGAATGATCGTCGATGCGAGTCTCGACGAACGAAAACCTGTGTACTATATCGTAAGTCAGGTTGAACGAAAACATCAGTTGATTGAGGTCGAGTGGAAGCAGGTTTAACTGAACGCATTGCGTTTGTAAGCCTGTTCGTGTAGGAGGTTAGATCCATGTTCATTGAAGAGGATGAAGGATCCACGAATTCTCCTGGAAGTCGAAGTGTCGTTCCATAAACGAGTTGAGCCGCAGTGTATCCAATGTCAGCTTTCACTGCATTGCGGATACCTAGTAAGACAAGTGGAAGAGCGTCGGTCCATTGTGAAACGTTTGCAGCTGATAGTGAAGCTTTCAGTTGTCGGTGAAAACGTTCTACCAACCCGTTTGCTTGTGGATGGTAGGCGGTCGTTCGGAAGCGAGTGATTCCTAAAATTGTGGTCAGACGACGGAAAAGATCAGATTCAAACTGACGTCCGCGGTCTGTAGTGATGGTTGAAGGGCAACCGAAGTTTGCTACCCATCGTTCGACGAAGGTGCGAGCCACTGTTTCAGCAGTGATGTCCTTGATAGGTACTGCTTCTGGCCATCGAGTGAAACGGTCTACGCAGGTTAAGAGGTAAGAGTATCCATTTGAATCTGGTAGAGGTCCTACCAAATCCAGATGAACATGGTCGAAACGAGCACTGGGAGTTTTAAACGAGCCTAAGGGACATTTATTGTGTCTGATAACCTTAGATTTTTGGCAGCTTACACAGGAGCGTGCCCACTCCCTCACGTCTTTATTCATTCCAGGCCAGCAAAACCGTTCTGCTATAAGCTTGATGGTTGCACGAACACCTGGATGAGAAAGTTTGTGCAATTTATTGAAGACATTGCGTCGATAATGTTTCGGCACGATTGGGCGATCCCTACCTGTAGATGTGTCACAAAGTAAGGTTTCCTTACCTGTTCCCATCTGTTTGATGCGTAGTTTAAGTGTTGTGGACGATAACTCGTGCTGAAGATCACTGTCTTCTTTTTGAAGCTCGGCGAGTTTAAGAAGGTCGATTCCTTGGAAACTGTTCAAGGAAGTTATGCGAGATAAAGCGTCTGCAACTACATTGTTTGCTCCAGAGATGTGTTGAATATCTGAAGTAAACTGCGAAATGTAGTCCAGTTGTCGAGACTCACGGGGAGAGTACTTGTCAGAAGGAGAGCTTAACGAGAAAGTGAGCGGTTTATGGTCCGTGAAAAGAGTGAATTCACGACCTTCGACATAGTGTTGAAAATGTCGTACAGCACAATACATAGCTAGGAGTTCCCTACCGAATGTGCTGTAACTCGATTCGGTGTCTGGCAACCTTCTAGAGAAAAATGCCAAGGGTTGCCAGGAGTTGTTAACCCATTGTTGTAAGACTCCTCCGATTGCCGAGTCGGATGCGTCTACTGCGATGCTAATGGGTGCTCGGGTGTCCTGATGTGCGAGCATTGTTGCTTTAGCAATCAGTTCCTTAACTGTGGAGAATGCTTTTCGTGCGGTGTTGTCCGAATTAATGGATTTCGTATTTCCACGAAGTTGGTCGGTTAGAGGTTTCATGAGTAATGCGCATTTCGGTATGAAACGTCTATAGAAACTTACCAGGGCGTTAAACGTGCGTAATTGCTTGACGGTGGTCGGTTCTGGGTGATCCAGAATGGCCGCCACTTTGGTCCTAAGAGGTCGAATGCCTTGAGCATCGATAGTGTGTCCTAGGAAGTCTAACGAGTCGGTTCTGAATTGGCATTTCTGAACGTTTACAGTAATGCCATGTTTTTGAAGTCGTTCGGAAACAAGATCCAGATGCTTGAGATGTGATTCTCCGTCCGGACTTGCGATTAGACAGTCATCAACATACGCATGTACGAAGTTGAGACCTCGAAAAACGTCGTCTATGAATCTTTGGAATGTTTGAGCAGCATTCCTTAGACCGAAAGGCATTCGCAAAAATTCATAGAGTCCGAAAGGAGTTATGATAGCTGTTTTCGGTATGTCGTCAGTAGTCATAGGGATTTGGTTATACGCTTTAACCAAGTCGATTTTCGAAAAGACAGCTGTACCTTTCAAGGCAGCTGTCAAATCGTGAATGTGAGGCAACGGGTAACGATCGGGAATGGTTTTCGCGTTCAATCGCCGATAGTCACCACCCAGGCTCCCAACTTTGGGGAAAATTGAGTCCATTTTGGGGAAGCCGCTGTAATAAATTTTGGGGAAATGAGAAAAAAAACCCAAAATTTCCCCAGACCTGAGTAAGTTTGGGGAAATTTTGGGTAACTGGGGAAATCCCCAAAGTGAACTTCAGTTATTGGGAATACAACTGACTACTGAATTTTTGTAAGTAGTATAAAATAATATACTAAAGAAGAAATAAACTACGCTTACGTCTGTTAAAGCCTGCGAAGCCAGGTGAAAGGGAAACGAACACGATAGCTATATCATTTTGGGGAAGCTTCCCCAAACCTTTGTTCCTGGAAAACTGTTTTAACGCAAAAGCTTAACGAAAGCCTATCGACATCACGGAAGACCTAGGGAGATTGCTTACGTACATTTCTTACTGCGATGTTTAATTACTTTTCGTCAATCGCGCATTGCTAATGAAACCTAATGTTAACCGATTTATCGCGATTATGAAAAGACTGATTTATGAATTATATAAATGTTTATTACAGTTAATGAAATTACAAATGAATCATTTATACAAAGTTTTTCTATGCGTTGTAACAGCAACACCTTACGTAGACGTAGAACTGTCATTGATAATGTTCTAAAAAATAAATAAATAAATAAATCATTTTTAGTGTATAATAACGTGTCAAGATATGTGAAAGGTTGGTGATGTACCAACAGTATAACAATGTTCTTAATAATGCGAACAAATAACTTACAGTAACGTCTGATAAAGCCTGCGAAGCCAGCTGAAAGGGAAACATACAAGAGACAAGTTATATCACTTTGAGTATTGATCACAAAGTAATAAGCTGTTACAGTAATTAAAGTACAGTGATCATAGTGATAAATACAATGACGATTAACATCCTGTGAATTTTGGGGAAATCCCCAAAGTGAACTTCAGTTATTGGGAATACAACTGAATAATGCATTTTATTAAGTGGTATTAAACACTATACAAAAGAGTAGGAAGGGGAACGAGTAGGAACAATGTGTGACAAAGTTAACATATGTATTATAACAAACAAATTAAGTAGTTTTAGCTCACCCTTTCTTTGGATCGCCATCCACGTTTATGTACTTTATCTCTTGCGTCATGCAAGAAGGCCTGGCTTGCTGTAGCCATGGCGTGCGTGATCTCCGTTTCCGAACAGGTCGCACTCCGGAAGTGTGAACACAAAGCACCTACAAATATGTTGATACAGTAATGTGGACTTACTTTGAACCGTGGAGTAAAATTTGTATTTACTAATCCCGAATTTTCTTCTGGTTCCGTGCAAGGTGTACGTGTTTGCCAGTTCCGGAGAAAGGAGGTATTTCAGACAGGCTTTTGCTGATTTCCGAAGATCATCACATAGTAGATGGTATAATCTTCCCATCTAAAATTTCTTCAAACACCGATTACAACTTACGAAATGATCCCGGAATTTTTTGTTCTCTAAAGCTGTCTCTAAAGAACGCAACTCGTCATGCGTTCGTAATGGGAAAGTGATTGCATCACTATCCATTTCCTCTGTACGCCCGTGAGTTACACCCATGGTTAAGCGTTCATACAAAAATAGCATTTTGTCTATTTTCGTAGACAGCTCACTGACCGATTTCAGGAGCGTTCTTAACAGTTTGTTTGTATCATCGCACAAACTTTCGTTATCAGGAATAAAGTAAATGCAACTTACGGTTTATCACCTTCAGTCGACATACGTAGAATTGGTGGTGATGAAAGGTTAGCTTTCGATGAACTAATCTATGAGTATTGATAAAGTAGGTACAAACCTCGCAATCGGAGAAAACGTTCCTGTTGAAATGTTGACAACTGGAAATCCCACCGGGGCAAATCCAGCCTCAACCTCAGCAACCTCTAGTTCTTCCGAGGTGCATAGATAATCATTAAGCTTTCGTTTGACAGTTCTAACACAAATGATATAAGAAGTTCAACAATTTACCTTTTTGGTTTTTTAGCGTCACAAGGCTGCGTTTCATCGTTAGTTGCGATGTTAGTATTGTAGCCCAGTACTGTTGCTAAACACACTTTTAATTCCTGGGCTACATTGTAGTCGTCTGAAAACAATAAATGTTAATTGATTACAACTTACCACAACGATGCATAACGGCACATTTTCTTACGTTGAATCGACTGTCAACATCAACTTACTTACTTACTTACGCCTGTTACTCCTCGTGAAGGAGCATAGGCCGCTCACCAGCATTCTCCATCCAACCCTGTCCTGGGCAATCCTTTCCAGCTCCTTCCAGTTGTAATTCATCCTTTTCATATCTGCTTCTATTATCCGACGTAATGTGTTCTTTGGCCTTCCTCTTTTCCGCTTCCCTTCAGGATTCCAAGTTAGGGCTTGTCTCGTGATACAGTTTGACGATTTGCGTAATGTATGTCCTATCCATTTCCATCGTCTTCTCCTAATTTCCTCTTCAGCTGGAAGTTGGTTTGTTCTCTCCCACAGAAGGCTATTGCTGATGGTATCTGGCCAATGGATGTTGAGTATCTTGCGTAGACAGCTATTTATAAATACTTGTACTTTCTTGATTGTGGTTGTTGTAGTTCTCCAAGTTTCAGCTCCATACAGTAGAACTGCCTTGACGTTCGTATTGAAGATTCTCACTTTGATATTGGTTGAAAGTTGTTTTGAATTCCATATGTTCTTCAATTGTAGGAATGCGGCCCTTGCTTTGCCAATCCTCGCCTTTACGTCTGCATCTGAACCTCCTTGTCCATCGACGATGCTTCCCAGGTATGTGAAGGATTCTACATCTTCCAGAGTTTCGCCATCAAGAGTGATTGGATTGCTGTTTTCCGCTTTGAATTTGAGGACCTTCGTTTTCCCTTTGTGTATACTGAGGCCTACTGATGCAGAGACTGCTGCTACACTGGCTGTCTTCATCTGCATCTGTTCGTGTGTACGTGATATAAGAGCTAGGTCATCTGCGAAGTCCAGATCGTCTAATTGGTTCTGAGCTGTCCATTGTATTCCGTGTTTTCCTTCAGATGTCGAGGTCTTCATAATCCAGTCGACCACCAGAAGAAAGAGAAAGGGAGAGAGTAAACAGCCTTGTCTGACCCCGGTCCTTACTTGGAATGCATCTGTCAGCTGTCCTCCATGCACGACCTTGCACTGTAGTCCGTCGTATGAGTTCCGGATAATATTGACAATCTTCTCAGGAATTCCGTAGTGTCGAAGAAGTTTCCATAATGTCCTCCTATCTACACTGTCAAATGCCTTTTCATAATCAATGAAGTTGATGTATAGTGACGAGTTCCACTCAACCGATTGTTCGACGATGATCCGTAGTGTTGCAATTTGGTCTGTGCACGACCGATCCTTACGGAATCCAGCTTGTTGATCTCGAAGTTGAGCGTCTACTGCATCCTTCATCCGGTTCAGCAAAACTCTGTTGAAGACCTTCCCTGGTATTGACAGTAGTGTTATGCCTCTGTAGTTTTCACATTTGCTCAGATCTCCTTTCTTTGGAATCTTGACGAGGTGCCCTTCTTTCCAGTCCATTGGCACTTGTTCCTCCTCCCAAATCTTTTTGAATAGAGGGTAAAGCATGCTTGTGGTTACTTCGACGTCTGATGTCAGTGCTTCAGCTGGTATGTTGTCGGGTCCTGCTGCTTTCCCGTTCTTGATTTGTCTGACGGCCGCTCTAATTTCTTCCGTCGTTGGTGGGTTGACATCTATAGGAAGATCTGTGTGTGCTGCTTCGATGTTCGGTGGATTCATAGGAGCCGGCCTATTCAGGAGTTCCTCAAAGTATTCTACCCATCTGTTACGCTGTTGTTGAATTTCAGTGTTTGGCTTGCCTTCCTTGTCTTTGACCGGTCTCTCTGGTTTATTGTATTTCCCTGCTAGTTTCTTCGTTGTATCGTAAAGTTGTCTCATATTTCCTTCTCTAGCAGCTTTTTCTGCCGTCGTTGCTAATTCTTCCACGTATTTCTTCTTGTCAGCTCTAATGCTCCTCTTCACTTGCTTGTTTGCTTCTATGTATTCAGCTTGTGCTTGGACTTTCTCTGCTCGTGTTTGGCTGTTGTTTATTGCTGCCTTCTTGTTCTTCCTTTCTTTGATCTTGTCCAGTGTTTCTGTAGAGATCCATTCCTTATGATGGTATTTCTTTAGACCGAGAACCTCTTGACACGTTGAAGTTAATGCTTCCTTGATGCTTTTCCAGTCCTCCATAGTAGTTTCTTCTTCTTTCAGTAGATCTTGTAAGGCTTGGAACCTGTTGTTGAGAGCTATCTTGAATTCATTGAGTTTGACAGTATCTCGAAGGAAGGCTGTATTGAACCTTTGTATTGCTGTTTGTCAACATCAACACCCTCAACAATTTCGTGCTCACTGATATCATCACGATAAAGGTAATGATTGTTGGTCAGGAGCCATTTGTTCGGAATACAGACCACTTGCTTGTTTTCCTTATCGTCAACTAAGATGTACTTTCCACTTTGATGCTGTAAATGAATGCGCAGGCGTGAAAAATTGTACATATATTGCATTGATGAAAATTCAGTAACACTTCCTGATGGAGGACGCAAAATCACTAACCAACAGACTGTTACTGGCTAAAGTGCTATATTTGCAACAGTCCTTGAGAAATGATGTCACATCTACTACTAGAATGTATGTAAAAGAGGGATAATGACCTCATAATGTTGTGTGCGCAAGCACATGCACTTACAAAGTATGTCTGTTAGTGTTGTCCACGTGCATTCGTGGCTTAAGGTAGAACAATTAAACATACCAATATTACTGGAGGGAAAAGGGTCAGTATATAAATCAGAAGGACTATGAAATGGCCGGAACCTAATAAGACCTCCATCACGGATTTCTGTTACGAACCCTGGTCTACCTTTGGCAATAACTACATTGTCCGGCCTTGAAGTAGATAGCTTTGAGTTCCTGTAACTGACCATTTGCTTGGAAGAATTATCAGTTACCTCACGTTCAGTGACATTGTCAGCCATATCCTGATTCAGTATACTTTGAAAGTAAACTTCTTCGGCATATCGCTGTGCGGCTTGTTTAGCCACGGCGAATCCACAGTGTACTGAACGCCTAATTTTTCTCATGTAGGACTCAAAAGGAAATGCTGCGAACGATTCTAAAGTACCATGTTCCATAACGTCGTCTGCAATGTGCTTTAAACTATGCACATTGTAGATTAAGTGTTCGGTACCGTAACACCTTTCGTAACCTAATAAAAAGTTATTAATGTAAACCCTAACACTGTTAGCCAATATGCTATGAAACTTAGGGTGCGATAATAAATAAATAGACAAGGAGAGTGACTGGAAGTTTCTGTACATTGATAATGGTAACCTATTATGAAGAACTACAGGTCCTAAGTATAATAAGAACAACCGACATTCAGTTGCTTTCCATACAGAAACTTCATTAAGTGAACGACATTTCCGTTGAAAATCGCATGTCGTGTGTTGTCTACATAAGTCTAGTGCATCATTTATTGATGCGATAATTGATTGATCCATCCTATTAAGTCGCTTAATAGCTAGCTCCTTCCATAATGAAACAATTTTTTTGGTAACACCTAAATATATCATATGCATGGGTTCACAAGGGAAACATTTAATCATATCCACTGGCAGATTTTCAAATGAACTTGTGCCACGATGATGGATAGATTGGGACCTACAACGAAAAGTGACATCACTTCTTAAGTCGTGTTCACCATTGGGGAAAGTCATTCGACCACCCATTCGCGTCCCTAAGACCTGACATTTGTCACAGCCAGCGATACCATTGTGTCCCACAATGTACTTGACGTTGCTGCGAGCTGGAGCGTCACAAATAACAGCAACTAATTTAACTGTTAAATGTAGGTTATACTTATCTACATTAATACCTACTGTCAGCAACTCCTGTAACTCTGTTATAAGTGTTGCTGACATGTCGTTGAAATCAGATGGTTTTACTTCACCACCGTAGATCCCAACTACGAAAACACTACTAACTAGTGGAGCTACTATACGACCTAGGATCGGCCACAGCTGTTGGTTAGAGCTTTTGAACAAACTTAAACCATCGTAGTTTAACTGCAACTGCAATTCGTTGAAACGGATTCGACGAAGCCAATGTCCTGAAATTCTCAAAAGACTGGATTTCAATCCTAAATGGTAATACGTTCCAGAATCTAGGATCTTAGGCTCCACGTCGTTGCATCGACGTAGGACACTTCGGACGGACGTTGGAAGTTCTGGATACCGCGCACGAAAAATGTCCAGTATTTGATCAGCCTTCTTGATGCTTATATAACCACCTTTCATCATTTCAATGACCATTTTGTCTAACTCGTCTTTCACCGAAAGATGAATGGTTGGGGACATTTCTGAAATCACACAACGTATAAAATTTTAATAATTAAACAGATTATACCGTTGATTGTGTTGTCTGAACACTGGACGTGACTACATGAAGCAGTAGCTGTATCTGTGACAATATTAGCCCACTGCTCTGTAGCTACGGTAATACGCGATTCTGTGACGACAACTGGATTGTCTGTCTCTTCGTCACAGCTCGGTAACTGACACTTCTTTATAAACTGTGCTTTCATTTTCCTCAACCTTCTGTAATAGGTTGATCGGGAACAGCCAAACAACCTAGGGTATTTAGTGTCTGCTGCCCGCCTTTTCGCAATCTTATCGAGCTGTCTATTATTATTCTGAAAGAAATAATTCACTTAAGTAAAACTGAACATAGACAGTAACCAAATTTCCCGACCTGCACTGCAAACAACTCACCTCCACAGCTTTCAAATTTTGAAAAAGTGCTTTACAACCGACAACTCTTTGTCTACTTATTGTTGATGTATTAAAACAAGACCTGGAATTCCAAAGATTATCCCTCATCAAAAGTCTGTATTGAATTAAAATAAAAATTTCTCTATTCAAATTTACTACTGTGAGGCTTATTTATATTATGCCGATGAAATGTTAATGTGCAAAAATGCGCTACGGCAATTTTGGGGATTTCCCCTAAATTTCCCCAAAGATTGGGGAAGGTTTTTCACTTTGGGGATTTCCCCAAAATTTCCCCAGAATGTCCCCAAAATTTCCCCAAAGCTAGCAGCTTGGGCAGTTGGACGCCAATCGTTGCTGTCCTTTTTAGGAACCATGTGCA